ATGCAGGCGTGTGCTCTCTCAAAAAAAAAAAAGGCCCTGATACCCCAAGGCCAGCCTTGTGCATTTCCCTGACTAGCAGCTAAGCTATTTGTGTGCTTCCTGTGGGCCCAGCGCGATGGCGTTGGACTTCTTAGCAGCCCCACAGCTGTGTTCAGTGTTGTCCCATTTCCTTGTAGGGGAACTGAGGCACTGAGAGAGGGGCTGGAGTTCCGAGCGGGGCGTGGCTAGACATGCCCTCCTCTTTCTCTTCTTCCTGTCGCCTCCCCACATGATGTTGTGGCCCCTGACTCACCCTTCCAGGCTGGAGGGGCTAAGCTGAAGGCTGGTTGTTCCAGTAGAACTTTGGCAGGGTCTGTCACTGGCTCCGCCTGCGGGGTAGGGAGGGTGCCTTCTGTCCTGTGGGCCTCCTCCAGCTCTTTTGAAACAGGAGGGCCCAAAGCCTCAGGAAGCCAGGCCTGAGGGGACCGCGGCCACTGACTTGGGGCTGTTTCCTGGTGCCCTGGGTGGCCCATTACCCCGAAGGTGGCATGGCGGCACGCACTTGTCATCTCCCTTCTGAGGACACCTTCTCGAGATGCCCAAAGTAGGGATTGGCTGCTTAGCACAGCGGGGACCCACTTGGGACTCAGGGTGATGTCATCCTAGGCTGCGGCACCTGATGACTCAGTAATTTTTATGAAGCATCTACTAAGCTACCAGGCACCGGAGAGAGCAGTGACCAAAACTAAGCCTGCTCTCTTGCAGCTCCGGCCTTAGCAGGGGGACACCTGAGCACATGGCGTGTCAGGGTGGGGAGTGCCGTGGAGGGAGGGGCCAGGCGGCAGGGCATCTGCTGGATCCCCAGTGGTCAGGGTGGACCTCCCCACGGAGGGCTGCTTCAAGCTGAGACCTGAAGGAGATGAGGGAACAAGTCCTGGAAGGAGGGCAGAACGTCTTTCTAGGAAACAACTCTGAGTGCATTCACTGCGCCACAGTTAGGATGCGGGTGGGAAGCCGCGCGGTGGGAGAGGGTGGCTGGCGCCTCTGGGTCAGCAGCACGAGTGCTGGACAAGGGCCCAGGTTATTGCTTCATTCCTGGTGTGCGCCAGGCCCTGGGCTGTGTCCCGTGGAAACCCTGGGGCTGCCCTTCCTCCCAGGGAAGGGCCTGGCTCGGGAAGGCCGGTGGCAGTGAGGGTGGGGCTGTCAGGGCCGCCCCAGGGCTCCGGCTGGCGGCACTGGCCTTGTTCGCTGCACACCAACAGGGGAGGGTTAGGAACTCGGCACCTGGGCTGGGGACAGCAGGGTGCAGCTATGCTGCTGGGAACGAGTTGAGAGAGAGTCTCCAGGCATCACAGGCTCTGAGCTCAGCCTTCAGGCCTCTGACTTACTCTTGGAGACAGGGAATCGTTAAAAAATCATCGGCATTCCAGCATGTACAGGGCCGTGGAGCCCCAGGCAAAGCCCCTCCCGTCTATTTCTCAGGTTTCTATTCTCTTCACAGGGAGACTGGCGCAGAGGCCGACCTGGCCTGTGGGAGGCTCCCCTCCTTCTCCAGACCCCTGGGCGCAGAGCGTCCTCAGGCAATGGGGGAAAGTCGCCACCTCAGAGAGATGGTGCAGGCACGGGCTCTCTGCCCACTGCCACCCTGGCCTGCCTCCCTCGTCTTGGGGCGGGCTGGGGCTGGACTCCAGCAGGTTAGCCCCTCCAGGAGGTCCCCGCTCCCTGGCTTCTGCTGTGTTGCGTCTCCTTGGAGTGTCTGTGGCACCTGCTGTGACACGCTTGGGCAGTGTCCATCTTCCCATCAGACCAGGAGCCCAGCTCAGGACTGGGCCTTTGGTGTCAAGATCTTGGGAAGGAAAGAGGGAGGGAGGGGGAGCGAGAGAGAAAAGAGAGGAAAAAACAGCAGCTGGCCTTGCTAGACTCCGTCCCTATCCAGTCTCCCATATATTCAGCTTGGTGGCCTTGGAGTTGGGCCCCCTTACAGAAGCCGAAGCAGGGACTGTATTATCTTTCTCATAGTCATTCAGTCATGCATATGATTATTGAGCACGTTAGTAGGTATACCCAGAGGGAGCCCCCAGGGACACAGAGTGAACAATGCAGATTCAGATCCCTACCCTATAGGGTGAACCCAGAAAATAACACAGGAGGAGGTCAGCGTTGTTAGAAGGCAGCCAGTGCTTGAAGGGTCATAAGGCAGGGAAGGAAGAACTCAAGACGTTCGTCATCTTGGGTGGGAGCCAGAGCAGGCCATGTGGAGAAGGTGACACTTGAACAAACCTGAAGGAGGTTAAGGAGAGAGCCTGTAAGCAGAAGAGCCAGTGCAAAGGCCCTGAGGCAGAAGACCCAAGTGGCTGACTGGAGGGGAATGAGTTGAAGTCAGAAGCTGGGGAAAATGTGGCGCCTGGGTGGCTCAGTCGTTAAGCGTCTGCCTTCAGCTCAGGTCATGATCTCAGGGTCTTGGGATCGAGCCCCGCGTCGGGCTCCCTGCTCAGCAGGAAGCCTGCTTCTCCCTCTCCCACTCCCCCTGCTTATGTTCCTTCTCTCGCTTTGTCTCTGCCAAATAAATAAATAAAATCTTAAAAAAAAAAAAAAAGCTGGGGAAAAGGAAGTTTTATAGGGCTCTGGGGAAGTGGTGAGTTGGGAGACATGGAGGGTTCTGAGGAAAGGAGGGCCAAGGTCTGGCTTTAAGAGGGTCGGTGCTGTGTGGGGAAAGAAGGCTTCATGGAAGCTTTTGAAGGTTAGTATCAACCCTGGAATCTAGCACATGGTTTCAACGCGACAAGGAGCCCAGTAAAGTGGGCAGTGAGGGATGGGCCTGGCGGGCTCCTGAACCTTCCTCTTGGGCATAGAGGGTGTGGTTTCTGCTGCCCACCACTACCGGGGGAAGAAGCTGTGGCTTTCTGTCACCGTCCGCACATCCTGCAGATGAAGGAGTTGGCAGAGAGGGAGACGGCCAGTGACTCCAGGGATGTCATGGCCAGCAGATCCTGGCTCTGACAGGGGGAGGAGGCCCAAGATGCACGATGAGGTGTCAGGTGGCATGGGGTTTAGGAAGGCTCCCTGGGAGAGGCAACAAGCAGGCAGGCCTTAGAGGAGCAAGGGGTGGGGGTGGGCCTTCCAGGTACGAGGTCTGGCAGGGCCCGGTCTACAAGGGAGAGGGCCTGCATCCTGTGGTTGCGCTCCTGGGAGGGGGATGGTCTCTTGCGGGTGCTGAGCCCCGGGCCATGAGCCGGATGAGAACTGAGGTATGCTGTGGGGGGGGTTGGGGGACTGTTCCATTTTTGGAGGCTGCTGCCGGAAGAGCAGCCAAGCGTTTCCTCTTGTCCCTGTGGAGGGCTCGAGCGTGACTGTCCTTGGGAACTGGGTCAGCTGATGGGGGTGGGGTGGGGGTGCCCATGCTGGTGGTGTCCTTGTTGCCTCTGTCCCCGGGAGGCCAGTGCCCTCAGTGATCTGAGCCCAGAGTCCCCCGGGCCCCCGAAGCAGAGGTCCAGACAGGTTACGAGCCTGCCGGGGTCCTCACAAAGGCCATGTGACCTGAGAGCCACCACCTGGAGACAGATGATCTGAAGTCGGAATCCCAGCTCCACCACTGAGCTTGGGCCAAGTCACTTCCCCTCTGTGGGCCTCAGGTTCCTCATCTGTGGCACAGATGCCCACTGCTAAGGGGTGCGCTCTTGAGGGGCACGTGGGACCACCGACAGGGCTTGGCTGGAGCCAGCAGGGGCTGAATGTTGTTCCCGGCGTGTTAGGTCGCGGTGATGGGATGGCGGACCTCTTCGCCCTCGTTTCTTTCTGCCTCGCTCTGCATCTGGGTGGAGATTCTAGAGCTGCTGGGCCTCCTCTGTCAGGCTCCATCTCTATCCTCTCTTTTGAGGCAGCTGATGGTATGTCTGTGCTGGGATTTGTGTGGCCAGGTCTCCTCCTGGTGGACATCGAGGCTACTTCTAGTTCTTTCCTCTTGGAGATGACGCGGCTGGATGCATCCCTGCCTCTGTAGTGGTCCAGTGCTTTGGGCTGTTTGCCAGCGTGTCTGACTTCCATTTTCTTTTTAGCATCACCACTGAGACGTGGTTTCTGAGCCTATGGGGTCTCTCCTCCCCAACATTTACCACAAAAAATTGGAACATATGGAAAAGTTGAGGAATTATACAGCAAACACCTGTAGGCTCAGTCCCTACATCTGAGGACGAACACATTTTATTCTTGCTTTATGCCATATCTAATGGGCCCAGCGCTCATCGTTAGTCACTTGGCTCAGAAGGCGTGAAGAGGCCCTGCCCAGAAAGCGGTTCTCCTGAGGGGTTCGTGTCTAGGTGGGGGGGCCCTGAGAACAGCCAAGGAGGTGAGAGCCGGACGGGTTTTGATGAGGACAGAAGCAGCGCCCTGTTCCCCATCCTGTGCCCACGCTCGGGGAGGGACAGATGGGCCCCAGGGGTGTGCGTCTGGGATCTTGGCGAGCTGGACAGTGCTGGCAGCTCAGGATCCCACTAGGACGGCAGCTTGCATCTCCTTTGACCCACAGCAAGGGAGTTTCTTCTACGTCACGACTCTGGACTCAGGCTCACGGATAACACCAAGGAAGCAGCTCCCTCACACGTACACCACCTGCTGTCCCGTGACGCATGTCCATATTTCCCCTTGTGTCCTGTTCATCCAAAAGTGACAAGTGCTGGTTACACCCACCTGCTGGTTGTTTTGTTTTTCTGATAGCGCGTCATGACGTGTCGTTTCGCAAAATACTTCACTAGAGTTTCTGTTCCCCCCTCCCCAGGATCTTTGCTGGTTTTGTTCCTTGAGGAATTCCCTGAGGTCTGGAAGGGGGTTCGGCTGTAGGAGCGCCCCCTGCAGATATTTTCTGTGAGGATGAATCTGTGGCTCCCCAAATTCCTAGAGCCACTGTGACTGATTCTTTGCTTTCTCTGCTTGACAAGGCACCTGTCCCAGAAGGCCATCAGTTCCCTACCCGCAGGCGAGACTGCTTCTCTTTCTCATTTTGAGCATCTTTCTTCCTTTTTCAGAATATGCTGAGTTTTTGCACTGTAAGTCCAAAAAGTTTACAGACTTTGATGAAGTCCGGCAGGAGATCGAAGCGGAGACGGACAGGGTCACGGGGACCAACAAAGGCATCTCCCCAGTGCCCATCAACCTGCGGGTCTACTCGCCCCACGGTAGGCAGCACAGGCGCAGACCCTTTGGGTGTTGGGGCAGAGGGGAGCCGACTCTGTGCCGCTCACGGGTGGGGTTGGCCGTGCTCTCACAAAAAATATGACCACTTCCATTTTTCTTCACACGTACACAGCCCTCTTGATCTCTGTCTTCCCATTTTTTGATAGGAACGTGGTACTGAGAAATCAGTCTCAGCTCTCAGGAAACACAGTATGCTGGAAAGACTGTTGGGAGTGGTGGGGACTGGGGCAAATTGCAGCTGTATGCACCTGTGGAAAGGGGTGGCCGTGGTGTGGCTCCCAGGTCATGGTGACCACATAATGACACCAGCCCAGGGTAATCAGGTCTTCCGGGCCTTACAGAGGAGCCAGATAGCCAGTCTTCTCTGTAAAATGTTCTGATTTAAAAAAAACTCCCATCATTTAGCTAGAGCCACCTGCCACCAAGTACAACTTGTGGCCCTGGGGCATAGATTGCTAACTCAAATGGCGTTTGGAGAATTTTCTAGCAGACTCTGAACTCCTCAGCATGAGTTCTTAGAGTTTTTAAATTGATTTATTTTTGAATAAATGATGCCTGTACACAGCACAAAAATACAAAAATTACAAAAGGGTATAGGAGCAAAAACCTATGCTGCCCTCAGTATTACGAACATATTTTATATTCTCACTCCTGAGTCAGTTATGAACATGTTTGTGTGTATATCATGCTTGTGTGTTTCACCGCTTTTATTCAAATCGTAGCATAATATAAAATGCCTCTTTGTATGACTACATCTCAGAGTGTGTCTCTTATCGGAGTATCATCTTTTTGTTTTTATGGTAAACATTGGTAAACAGCAGCCTTTGGTCATGGCTGAATTGATGGGCCGAAATTTATTTAGCCACTGAGAGCAATTCCAGGCTGCCAATGCAAACATCCCGATTTAAAACTGTAGCACTGCAATAGAGAGAGGCTGTCTGTAGGAGGGGGCCCTCGAAGAGGAGCTGCTGGATCAAAAGGTGTGATCTGGTTGGAGGGCAGGAGGAATCCTGCAGGCTGACCCCTCCCAGCACTTGGGGCGGTAGGCTGGGTAGCTATGGGGCCGTGCCTGCCTCCCCTCCTCTGTCTCTGATGACCTTTCCCTCTGGTTTCCCTCTCAGTGTTGAACCTGACCCTCATTGACCTGCCGGGTATCACCAAGGTGCCCGTGGGCGACCAGCCCCCAGATATCGAGTACCAGATCAAGGACATGATCCTGCAGTTCATCAGCCGGGAGAGCAGCCTTATTCTTGCCGTCACCCCTGCCAACATGGACCTGGCCAACTCAGACGCCCTCAAGCTGGCCAAGGAGGTCGACCCACAAGGTAACCACTGAGCCCTACCATAGGCGTTCCCCTCCTGAGGGCCTGGATGCCTGGCAACTTGCCCAGCATCCTCGATTCCAGGTCACTGGTGTTCTCTTTGGCATATGACCCCTAGGAAAAGGCCCTCCTGGGGCACAGCATCTCCCATGGGGACCAGCAGTGCCGGAGGGCTGCCCCTGGGAGGCTGTTGTGTGGCAGTTGGACATTCCTCCTCAACTTGGTCCCCCTCAGTCAAAATGGCAACAGCAATCCTAGCCTATAGAGCTGCTGAGAGGATCAGAGGTGTCCCTGTAACTGCTCAGGGGCCAGGCAGAGAAGGTAAAAGGATGATGAGTTAATGAAGCCAGATGGGGCAGTAGGGATTAAGTGGGGACTGTGGCATCTCTGGCTCGGGGCATTCTGGGTCAAACTTTTCCTTGGGCCATTTATTAAGTACATGTCAGTTAAGTACCTGATATATGCCAGGCTCTGTTTTGGCCTTGGGGACCCTGCAGGGGACAAAGTTGACAGGGCCCCTGCCACTGGTGAGTTGATGTTCCAGGGAGGGAGACAGAAAACAGTAAGAAAATAAGCAGGTGGGGCAGTTCCAGCCAGAAGTAAGCACTGGAGGAAAATCCAACCCTTTGAGAGTGGCTGGAGCAGGGGGTGGGTGTCAGAGGCCACTGAAGATGCGAGGTGTCAGGCAAGACCAGAATGACAAATGATGAAAAGAGGCAAAATCCAGGAAAATGGCCAGTGATGCTAAATAGGCTGGACTGGATTTGAGCCTGGGGTGCCCAGAACATGGTGAGGAGGCCATTGTGGCTGGGGCAGAGGAGGCAACATGGAGAGGGTGCAACCGTCCGAGGGGCCTCGGTGGCTGCCGTGGGGAGCTGGGTGTGTCCTGCACGTGTTGGTGGTTGTGGAGTGCGACACATACTGAAATACGATTTGCAAAATGCCCTCTGACTGCCTGATTCCGTGGTGGTTCGGAGAGAGTCGGGGACCAGGGAGGAGCTGGGGAAAGATGGGCCCTGGTGCTCCGCTCCCTGGCTTCTGGTCCCCAGTCTGGCCCGAGGATGGCTGGTGGAGGGATGGGAGCTGACGGCCCTTTCACACACCGGACTGCGAGCTTTTCAGAGTCGAGGGCTGTGCACCGAGTATCTTTGTCCCAAGAAGGACACACTGTGTCACCCCTGGTCATCCCAGGCATGGTCTCCCAGGAGAGGCCGCGCCTATCCGTGGGCCCCCCCCCACAGCCTCCCCGTGCCCCCGGTCCAGCCCCATGCATAGAGCATGATTGTGACAGAGATGCCACAGAGGCTTGATCGGGTGTTGAGGAAATGGGCGTGGGTTCAGTTACACTTGTGAACTCAGTGTTGGCTCTTTTTCTGACTTTGGAAGTGTTCATAATTATTACCCCCAAAATGTCACCGTTGTAAAACACAGAATCTAAGAAGTGACCGCTCCTCTTCCCCTACAGAGATACCAGTGACCACACCTCGGAAATAGCCTCTCATAGTTTGTTCTCCTGTGTAAACTCACATTTTAAAAAATGCAGTGATCTTTCCTTATTTTTCTGTACGCTGTGTGTGTGTGTTTCCCTGTTATCATCGGGACACGTGTGCACAGCATCCACCAAGCTGGCCACTGTCACCTCTTTGTTCATAAATGATGCTCCAGTGAAATGCAGCGTTTCCAGTAGAGTCCAGGCCCCCAACTCTGCCTCTCCCCTCCCTGCCTGGCACAAGCTTTGTGGGTATTCACAGCTGTGGCCCCTTTGCCCTCCAAAAAGGTGATGGCACCTCACAGCCGAATGTGAACAGGCAGGAGCACCAGGGAGAGCACAACTGTCAGCCCCTCGAAGTCGCCGTTAGCACCCTCTGGAGATCTCCCTGGGCTTCCTGTGTGTCACACATATGCACACGTACACACACACATACAGGCACTATCACAGAGGATCCGTAGGCATGCCAGGGCCAGCTGATCTGTAGGCGAGCAGCTTCACTAGGAGGGTTCCCTTGATTCGAGGTGACCTGGGGACAGGAGGAATCCGATGAGGTGGTCTCCAGAGTGGAATTTTGGCCATTCAGGTGCAAGGTAACCCTAGAAACAGTCGCCGTGGGTTTGCGTATGATGTTGGGACTTTGCGGGTAACTCAGCACAGCATGGAGACTGAGCCGGGATTTTGAGTTTCCATGAGGTCTCCCCCTGACACTGCAGCAGCAAGACACTGTCGCAGGTCACAGGAATGACAATGACGGTGGCCAGTATTTACTGATTGCATGTTTGTCACAAGCCAGTTTATCTTCATGGACAACCCTCTGAGATTGGTGTGGCTTTTGTCTTCACTTGACATGAGGGAAACTGGGGTCCAGGCAGGTGACGTTATAGCTTGTTCCAGGTCTCACAGCTTGGAAGTGGGGACACCCCCCCCGACCAGGCTGCCAGCCCAGGCTCCTCCCTCACGGCATCCTCTGACCTCTGGGCTCTTTCAGGCCTGCGGACCATCGGCGTCATCACCAAGCTCGACCTGATGGACGAAGGCACTGACGCCAGGGACATCCTGGAGAACAAGCTGCTCCCCTTGAGAAGAGGTGCGGTTGGGTGGGGAGCTGGGAGCCATAGGGGGTGGTGGCTGGGAGGTGGTTCAAATGGTAATGTTTTTGTCCTTATTGTTACCGAAACCTGGACCGATGCCAGGAAGTATGCACAAATAAGCACCTACCACTGCCTGTTTCCCCACGGCCTGGAGTCACTGCTTTTTCATATGTCTTTTTCTTCTGATTTGTACACATTGACTTTCCAGTTACACAGTTAACACCTGCTCACTTGGGGAAAATAAACCTACAGAAAAGGGAAACCAGAGTCATCCACAGCACCCCCTCTCCCACTAGTTCCTACCTTGTGGCTCTCCTCCCAAAAATGTTCCCCTGGATGCATAATTAATTAATTAATTAGCTTCTTTTCTTCCTTTTCCTTCCCTTCCCTTCCCTTCCCTTCCCTTCTCCCTTCCCTTCTCCCTTCCCTTTCTCCCTTCCCTTCCCCCTTCCCTCCCCTTCTCCCTCCCCTTCTCCCTTCCCTTCTCCCTTCCCTTCCCCCTTCCCTTCTCCCTTCCCTTCTCCCTCCCCTTCTCCCTCCCCTTCTCCCTTCCCTTCCCTTTCCCCTTCTCCCTTCCCTTCCCTCTTCCCTTCTCCCTTCCCTTCCCTCTTCCCTTCTCCCTTCCCTTCTCCCTTCTCTTCCCTTCTCCCTCCCACCCTCCCTTCCTTCCTTCCTTCCTTCCTTCCTTCCTTCCTTCTGATTCATTTATTTATTTGTGAGAGGTGGGGTGGTGAGCAGAGAGAGAGTCTTAGGCAGACTCTGCATTGAGGTTGGAGCCCGACACACGGCTGGATCTCATGACCCTGAGATCACGACCTGAGCTTGAAACCAAGAGTTGGATGCTTAACTGACTGAGCCACCCAGGTGCCCCAGGATTCATAATTTTTATTAATGTTCATGCTTACTTTCTATTTGAACATTTAAAAAACATTCTTGAAAGTAGAGAGAGAAGTACAAGGAGCCCCCATGGACCCAGCCTTAGCGTTATCAACTGTACACAGCTAATCTCGAATCCCTGAATGTCCTCCCCTTATTTGCTTCCTGGGGGATTACAAAGCAAATCCTTGGCATCATATCATTTTACACATGAATACCTAGGTTTCTGGTTGAATAGCTCTCCCACCAGCCCCTTTTTTTCCTCTTATACCATTTTTTGTGGAAGAAACCAGATCATGGCCCACACTTGGGATTGGGCCAATTGTTCCCTATAAATTGGTAATTAAATCTAGATGGAGAACCTGATGAGGTTCAGGTTTAGGATCAAGTTTAGATCTTCTGACAGGAGTAGCCTAAATATTTTTCTTTTCAAAAAATTAGAATAGCAAATACTAAGTGTCTGTTACGTACTAGGCTCTGCTCTGGGCTCTTGATGTGTGTGGGCGAGCTCATTGAATCCTGCTAACAATCCAGATTATGCGGTGGCTCTATTCCTATCCCCATTTTATGGATGAAGAAACTGAGGCACAGAGAAGCTGAATACCTTGCCCCAGCTCACAAAACTAGGATGTGACAGAGCTGGTTTGGAATGCTGTTTCTCCAGTGTCCTGCCACTTTGTGACCTACTTTCCATTTCACTTAGCAGAACAGCAGAGAGTTTCCCCATGACAGGCAAATATTCTTCAAGGTGACTTCAAGAGGTCCTGTGGAATCCCTTATATGAGGATTTGTGGGCCGTTACTCAATCCTTATTTGTTGGACACTGAGGTTGTTGCTGTTTGTCACTGTGGCATGGTGTTGAGTGTCCATCTAGGCTTTAATTTTTAAAAAAATTTTTAAGCCATTTTCTTAATTGCTTTCCTTTCTTGCCCCATTCCTTCTCTTGGGGGATCTGCTGTCAGCTGTAGGCACCCTCGGCATGCCATTTAGATCTTTTCCTTGGCCCCCACGGATTCCCTCCTCCAGGTGTGGGATGGGCATGGGACGACATTCGGACCTTGGTTTCCAACCTTCCGCTGTCCGTGCTGAGCCACTGAGTAAGGAGAGGTGGCTGCCAGGATCAGGAACCAAAGAGTGCCTCTGCATCGGAGGTTTAGGAAGGAAGGGTTGGTGCTGAAGAGGGAAGCAGACCCCACATGTCCCCGTCCCCTCTGCCGGCCACCCCCACCCTGGGCTCTTCCCACATGTATTGGGGCCTAAATTTTTGTCCCCGAAGGATGCTGCCTGGGCTCAGCATTGGTGCTGGGTGGCTGGATGACACGGACCTCTTCAGCTTCCTTCCTCCCCCCTCACTGCTGTCTGCGTCTGCCCTCCTCTGCCCTCCTGTCTGTTTCTAAGAAAGTCAGCCCTTCCTCGCCCCGCTTTGTCTGGCTCCCGGCTTATGCCCTCAGGCCGCCCACCCTCAGTGTTCTCCCCTTGTCCTGTGCCTTTTAGAATCTCCCGGCTGCATCCTTTTTCTTGGCTTACAGAAGACTCAGAACTCCTGTGCTTTTAGGAAGCAGAATCCCAGCCAGACCACTGTTTCTGCTCCCTGCTGTTTCTCCTGCTTACTGCTGTGTGATCGATAGTGAGTTTGGGCTTCTCACCAGTCCGGGCTCACATCTGAGTTCTCCTGCGGCCCCTCTCTGTGACCTCATCTTGGTCAGTTCCCCTCATCTGTAAAATGGACATAATGGCAAAGATGGAGAGAATGAAAGGTAACCAGTCCTGCACAAGACTTGGCAGGATAAACGGCAGGCAGACACCACTCCCCTTCTCCCCAAGGGAAACCTCGAACACCCCCCACTGAGAGCGGGGTATATCTGTGTGTATGGATCTCTTTGGGCCTTTTGCCACCTCTCCCCAGTCCACCTCTCCATCTTTCGTTATGTCAGTCGGGATGAAAACAATCCCCACATCTTTTTATTGAGCACCTACCATGGGTCAGGCACTCGGCTGAGTTCTTGGTGTCCCATGACACCCACCCACACACCTGTACTGCTGGGTGCCTTGCATCCACACTCGGGGACCCGTGACTATTCTGGCTTTTTTTTTTTTTTTTTTTTTTTAAGTAGGCTCAATGCTCAGTGCGGAGCCCAACACGAGGCTTGAACCCACAACCCTGAGATCAAGACCCGAGCTGAGATCAAGAGTCGTACTCTGAACTGACTGAGCCACCCAGGCGCCCCTGTTCTGGTTTTTTGAACACCATCCCCATTCTCTTCTCTTCCAATTGCTTCGTGTCCGAAGAAGGCAAATCTTTTCTTCACATTAGCATTTTGATTTTAAATCCTGTTTTCTATGATTAAAGAATTCTAGAATGGTTCCGAAGGTCGTCCAGCCCTGCCCGCAAGTCCCATTTCTCATGTAGTCATGGTTACCATTTTCTTGTGTCTGATAACAGAAAATTTTAACCCAAATACAATCATCTCTAAAAAGCTTCCCTCCCGTTGGCTCCAAAGCATTAGCCATCATTCCCACCTACCTGCCATGTGTGGTTTTGGACTTTTTATTTATTTTGTTTTATTTTTTATTTTATTTTTATTTTTTAAAAATATTTATTTATTTGACAGAGAGAGACATAGCGAGAGCAGGAAAACAAGCAGAGGGAGTGGGAGAGGGAGAAGCAGGCTTCCCGCCAAGCAGGGAGCCTGATGCAGGACTCGATCCCAGGACCCTGGGATCATGACCTGAGCCGAAGACAGACGCTTAAAGACTGAGCCGCCCAGGTGCCCCTAGAACATGTTTTAACACCTGGCAAGATGAGCTGGTCCTTCTCCCCCTTCTTTCTTGAGGTGGTTTTCTTGTCTCTAAAGCTCAGTTTGGGGGTTTCATCTTCTCCAGAGCTTTCCTCTATACCCCACCTCACACCAGGCCGGGCGTCACCCCTCCTTCCTCCAGACATTTCTGTTGCTTTTCAGGACTGCTCTGTGTGTTCATGTTCTCTGCGTTTCCGAGGAAACGGTCCGGCTTGTGGCCCTGTCTGAGTGACCTATGAGACAGGGTCCATGGTGGGCATCCAGGCACCTTGGCCCGCCTGGCACTGCCCCTGCCCTGAACGTCTGTCCCCGCAGGCTACATCGGCGTGGTAAACCGCAGCCAGAAGGACATCGAGGGCAAGAAGGACATCCGCGCGGCGCTGGCGGCCGAGAGAAAGTTCTTCCTCTCCCACCCGGCCTACCGGCACATGGCCGACCGCATGGGCACCCCGCACCTGCAGAAGACCCTGAATCAGGTACGGCCAGGGTTTTGTGCGGGTGCAGTCTGCTACGCTGCTGGCTGTGGTCCAGAGCAACATGGGTCCCAACCACATTTGATTCGGGGCCTGACGAAGGGGGGTGTTCCGTGAGTCTCTAGCGGCACTATTATCACCATTGCTGTTATTGTTGCTTTTATTTTAATTACAATTAAATACTTGGAATTATCTAATCAACATACCCAGAGGTTTGCATACAGTTCCTGGCGTCGGTGACCTGGTGACAATGGCCCAGCCCGCACCAAGGCAGGGTGCCCGGGAGCGCTGGACAGGACCTCAGCGGGAGGACTGTGGGGCCTGAGCTCTGCAGGGCCGAAGCCCAGCCCCACCTCTGACTGGGTGGCCCAGGCTGTCCGAGCCCCCGTCCCCTGGGTGTCAGCTGGGAACCATCACCGGCCACTCTTTCTGTACCGGGAACGTATTCTCAGCATTCGGAAACCAAGAGCATGCTGTGAGGCGCCACCGTCTGCCCCCCTTCCACCCGCAGGGCCCACTGTCAACCTTGCCTGCACTTCTTTCTGTCCATAGAAGCAAAAAGGACTTTCGAGAATCATAGCTCTCCCTTTCTTACCGTAAAGGATGACGTAGTCGTGGATGCCTCTTCCCCCCGCCCACCCCGCCCCGCTTTTGGGTTTTTCTGCTCAGCGTTATCTCCTGGAGCGCTGGCCTTGCCGAAAAGTACCCTTCCTCGTTCTTTCTTGTGGCTGTGTCGTGGTCTCTGAATGCCCAGGCCGCAGGCTGTCCCGCCAGTCTCTCTTTGGAGGGCGACCACGAAGGTGGCCGTTAATGTGAATACCATCGTATGGCTCGTGTGTGGATTTCTCTGGAGAGTAAAATTCCTGATGGGGGATTACATAGGCACGCTGTAACAGGCTGTGTCTGTCCTTAGGGTTGGTCCTGGTTTGTCCACCCAGGGTTGCAAGATGTGCCCTTTGGATACTTGATGGCAGCTTCCCAGACGGGGGGAGGAACTGAGGCCACAGTCAGGCAGGTGGTGGGGGCACAGTGGCAACACCCGAGCGGGGCTGTGTCCTCAGGGAAGGCATATTTCTAATGTGGGGGCACAGCCTCGGAGCACGTCCCCAGATGAAGGCACGATCAGGGCTGAGGGAGCGATGGGGGCCAGGAAGAGCCAGTGCAGAACAGGAAGGCAGAGGGGGCAGCTGAAGGGAGCAAAGGGGACGGAATGTGTCCAGTGGGAGGAAGCGGTTGGCCTGGGCAAAGAAGGGAGAAGAAGGGAAGTAAAATGCCCCGCAGGTGGTGGGGGCCTCTGCTGAGGGCTGGCACGCAGTGGGGGGGGCCTGGCTGGCCTCCGGGGGGCCCGGCTCTGCATCGTGGCTCTTCCTGGAGCTGTGCCCACCCCCGCCCCACATTTCCCTGTGAGCACAACGGGGCTGCTCTTGTGCTCTAGGATGCTGTCAGACACTGGGGTGAAGGTCTGCAGAGAGTGTAGCCTCCATGCCCCCCCCTTAAAGGCCTGCGGCTCCCACAGAGGGGTCTGGGACCAGCTGCTGGGGCGGGGCCCCCAGCCACAGAGGACTTCAGCAGGGCCATCAGATTCATAAGCACAGAGTGTGGTGAGCTGGAGCGTGAGGCTCCCTCACACCTTTTTTGTAGCTTGAGGATGGATGCTAGTAAATTGTTGTCTGTTGTGGGAAAGATGGCGGCAAGTGCTTCTTTTCACTTTTAGGGTATTAGCTGCTTTTATGCTTTTGTTTTGTTCCCTCCCTTCCTCTCTCTCTCCCTTTCTGTCTCTCTTTCTCTCTATTAAAATAAAAAATAAAGTCATACAGCCCAAATATAGTGACTATCCCATTTCTTCCCATGTGGTGCTGGGTCCTTTCCCCAGCGGGGGCCGGTGTCACCGCTGACTGGGCTACCTTCTAGCGACGCTCAGGGCCTGCAGAGACCACTGTGTCTGTAACACCGCCATCACTGCCTCCCTCTCCCTCCTCCCCTCTCTCTCCCCTTTCTTTCCCTTGCCTTCCCTTACTTCTTTCCCTCCCTTAACAGCGGTATATTTTCTGTTCTCTCTCACGTTTTCTCTCACCACCCATCCTGAGGCTTATGCTGTAACGTTTTCTGCAGCGCTGCTTCCTCTTACAATTTGTGAGCGGTTAACAAATCCCCATGATTCCGAAGCAGAAGAGGCGAGGAGAAGGGGCCACAGGGAGAGGCCCCCTTTCTATCCGCCTGCCCCACTCCAGCCCTGCTTCCGCTTTTGCTTCCCGTGGAGCTTCCTTCTCTCTGTTCGGGCAGCTAAAACTGCGTTCCTCCTTTTCCCTGTCTCTCACAAGAAGGAAGCACATGCTGTTACGTTCCTTTCATTGGGGAGCTGTTTCCATCTTAGTTTATAGGGCCTGACCCCGCATCTCTCCGTCTGCCTGTTGTTCCATGGCCCACGTGGACCGTCACCCACCGGCCAGTCCTTCAGTGCGTGGGTCCTCGGGTGGCCTCCTGGGCCTTTCACCGGAGCACTTGCGGGAGGCTGTTGCTGGTCGGCACACGTGTTGTGTGGACCCTGCGGTGCGGACAGCCTGGTTAGCTGCCCAACGGGGGCCACCTCTCCTTGTCCCACGTACTAGTGTGACTCCAACCGGAGTGTTCCCTTGCTTTCTCCTGAGGCTGGGTGGTGTACTGGGCTCAGCGGGGCATCTCGGCATCGGTCCTTGGCAGGTGCCACAGGCCAGCCCCTTCCCGGCATCCCACCTGTCCTGACCTCTGACCTCTGGCCTCTCTCCCTCCCCCAGCAACTGACCAACCACATCAGGGAGTCGCTGCCAGCCCTGCGGAGCAAGCTGCAGAGCCAGCTGCTATCCCTGGAGAAGGAGGTGGAGGAGTATAAGAACTTCCGGCCCGATGACCCCACCCGCAAAACCAAAGCCTTGCTGCAGTACGTGCTCCCCCCTGCCCCTAAGCCCCCCAGCCTGGCTCATGGGGGCCTCCGCCCAGCCACAGGGTCCCAGGTCCAGGCTGGGTGCCGGTCCTCAGTTGTCCATCTGTTCACTTAGTGTAACATTTGTGGAGACCCTCCTATGTGCCAGGCCCTGTCCTGAGCCCTGGGGTTGCCACAGTGAATGGGGGCAGACAGCCATCCCTGCCCCGTGTGCTTAGGACGGGGATGGGGGAGGGATGGGACAGAAAATAAGTAAATAGGAAAACACGTCGTGCATTAAATGGTGAAATATTAATGTGGGGAAGGGGCTAGGGTGCCGGGACGGGCCTGGGGCTGCCATTTAAAGCAGTGGTCAAGAAGGCTGCGCTGAGACAGTGAGAGTCAGGCAAAGACCTGGAGAGGTCAGGGATGGGGGCCTGGCCAGTGCAAAGGCCCTGAGGCAGGACTGTGCCCTGCATTGTTGGAGGAGGCTGTATGACAGAACAGAATGAGTGAGGGGCAAAGTGGAGGAGGGAAGGGGACGGGGCAGAGCATTCAGGTCTTTGTGGGCCACAGGGAGGAATTAGGCTTTTGCTCCAAGTAAGGTGGGAGCCATGGAGGGTTCTGAGCAGAGGAGGGATGGCCTGATTCAGGTATCATAGGCGCCCTCTGGTGGCTATGGGGAGGACAGACATGGGGGACTGGGGTGGGAGCTTGGCCCTGGGTCAGCTCTTTCTGCTCTGTCCTTGGAATTCTCACTCGGACCCTGAGTCAGTGCTCACTGTCCCAGCTCAGAGTTGTGGGGGACTCTTCACAGCCGTTCTGCTATGAGGCAAGGGAGTAGGTGTGCCCCACGATCCCAGGCTCTCTCTCTCTCTCTCAAGGCTTCTCTTGCCTCTGTATTCCCGGTTTCTGGACCGCCAGGAACCCTGGGCGCTTGGCTAGAGTGGGATCCAGAAACTCCCTGGCAGCTCATAAGGCAGATGGTGCCACCCATGTGGCTCCTCCCCTGGACACACCAGAGGGACACCACCCGCAATGGCCATCATAACCCTGCTGTCCGTGTCCGTCTGTCCCCCCCCCGCCACACACTGCTACTCAGCACTGCATGGTGGAGGGTTCGGGGTGAGAATGCTTTTATGCTCAAACTTAACACTGTTTACTTCTTGTGGGCAAAGAGTTTCTTGGGATCTGAAATCACCCTATGCCTGCCTTCCCACCGGGTGTTCAGGGAGAACCCCATTCACTGGCAGCCACGCCTGGCTGCCCCGGCATCTTGCAGGCATTGGCCATGTTTGCTCACGAGAGCTGGACATCTCTTTGCTCGCAAACTGTGCATCGTGCTGTTGGCCCAGTGGGGGCTGGTCCCTCAATTGCAGCAGCTCCCCTTCAGGGCAGACTACACGCAGAACTTGAGGACATCAAGCATTTGGAGCCGGGAGGGCGCCTGGGTGGCTCAGTCGTTAAGCGTCTGTCTTCGGCTCAGGTCATGATCCCAGGGTCCTGGGATCGAGCCCCGCATCGGGCTCCCTGCTTGGCAGGAAGCCTGCTTCTCCCTCTCCCACTCCCCCTGCTTGTGTTCCCTCTCTCACTGTCTCTCTTTCTCTGTCAAATAAATAAATAAATAATCTTAAAAAAAAAAATTTGGAGGGGGGCAGAGATACAGAAATGATTAAGGCAGACAGTGCAAGAAGCTGGGGAAACAACTAGAAATGCTAAGAAAAACTGAACACTAATAAATACTTTAGTTCTCCACTGCTCACATGGTCACAGTACTAATCAGTGACACTTGGAGACCTTTTTAAGGGCTGGGCTGGGTTCGAAGGGCCCATGTGCGGTATTAACATATTTCATCAATTATGTGAGCACTTTTTAAAAAGAAAAACATTTTAACGTCCCTGAATTCAGAAGTTTGAGGTGAATCACCATTAATTGGCTGCATTTTTTCTTTTTTGTGGGGGTACAGACTAATAGTGCTCTTTAAGATTGGTGATTTCTTGGAGTTAATAAAATCTAGAAATTCCTTGAATCCTCACAATGACCCCATGTTGGGGACACTGTTAGGATCAACTCACTATGCAGAGGCTCAGAGGCTCAGAGGGGCAAAGACACCTGAATTGTGTGGAGGGGCTACCTTTTCACTCACAGTTCTGCCTGGTCAGGGCAGAGGTTGCTAAGCTGTGACCCCACCCCCCACTCTTACGATCTGCAGAATGGCAGTAAGAACTGCTACCCACCAATCACCGTAATGGGCCTGTAGAGTGGGCCTGGCGTGTTGTGATTGCGTGCCATAGGCAGTCCTGTAATTTATTTGTTTTGGTCTACGCATACATCTTGCTGCTAAAAAAATGAAAGGAGCACATAAGCCACGGCTTGACTCAGAGTGTGATTCTGGAGCTGTGTCACAACCTTCCCCTCTGACATTCGGGTTCTCTTTTTCCTGGTAGGATGGTCCAGCAGTTTGGGGTAGACTTTGAAAAGAGGATCGAAGGCTCCGGAGACCAAGTGGACACGCTGGAGCTCTCCGGGGGTGCCCGAATCAATCGCATCTTCCATGAGCGGTTTCCCTTTGAGCTGGTGAAGGTAGCACTGCCGGGCTGGGCCCTCCTGACTCTGGTCAGGGCCTCCTCCCAGGCCAGGGGGTCTTGAGCTCCTCCCTCCAGGCTTCTGCCTACTGTGGGCGGAGGTGGTGGAGATGTCACCTTCAGGCTTCCTTCCCTGAGCAGGCAGCTTCGAGGTGTGCAGCAGACCCATAGGAAAGTTCCATTTTTGCCCTCTGATGAAAACCAATGCACATTCTTTGCAAAATACATAGAAATCATAGGTCAATTCTCATGGGAAAATGTCCTCCTCGTGGTGAAGGGGAAAAAAGGCAGGTTAAGGAGCCAACATGTATAGCATAGCGTATAGATAATATTTACAACATCCTTCCACATGAAGGCTGTGTCTCGATGTGTGTCTTTGCATAGACAGATCTGCAAGAATACTCAAAAATGTCAGTTCTGGGATTTGAGATTTTTCTTGTTAATTTGCTTGAAGTTTTACACTTTTCATATATCATTTTTATGAAAATCAGTAAAATTATTTTCAATAAAAGATCAAAAGCTAAAGGGATGAAAACACCCGTAATCCTAGCATCCGCAGACAACTCCCGTTAGCATCTCGGTGTTTGCCCTTTCAGGATTATTTCTGTGCAAACGGGTAAGTCCCCAGCATACGCACAACACAGCACATCTGCTCACCCATACTTGAAAAACAATTTATGTGTTTCTGTACCCTGCTTTTTTCATATGGTGGCCATCTCTCCAAACCAATCATTTACATTTCATGCATTGCTAATGGCAAGATAATATCTTACGGATGTCCCATCATACATTGAACCAGTCTCCCATTATTAGACATTTAAGTTGTTTTCACATTTTTTAGCAGTTACGAATAGTTCTATGAACATAACTAATTCTTATGAATTCCTCGATGTAGGTTTCTAGACCGTTTAAAACTGCCTGAAAGTATAGTTATGTGTTTGGAGGCCCTTGATTGCTACTGCCAAATAGTCCATAAAAAAGTTTATGTGAATTCATGTTCCCTCTGAGAGAGAGTGAGAGTGTTCATTTCAAACCATCCTCGCTGAAATTGGGTTTTAATGTTTTTAAAAATTTTGACCAGTGAAATAGTCTGCCATGTGAAAACAACCACACACAGGACATACGTTCCCCAAATACACACCCGTTGTGGGGGTGACGCAGGTACCTCTTTGCATGTGAGTGATTTGTCTGCTCTCAGATGGAGTTTGACGAGAAGGATTTACGGCGCGAGATCAGCTACGCCATTAAGAACATCCATGGAGTCAGGCAAGTTCCAAGGGGAGAGCTGCCATGTTCCCTTCACCTCCGCGGCGCCACTCTCCAGCCAGTTGGTCCCCCATCCCTCCAGGTGCCCTGAGTGTGAGGCCTGGAGAGGGCTCCTGGGTGGTTTTCGGTAGCTTTAAGTCTCTCCCTGTGGGCCTCCCAAGGGCACTCGAGGGCGGGTGTGCTGTGTTGTGTGGATCTGTTGTAGGCCACAGGGCTGCTTGCCGCCCTTGGGTTAAATGTAGGTTAAACTGCCCAGTCAGTTGGTGTGAGCCCAGCTGAGAAAGCTCACTGTAGCTTTGCCCCGGGGGGTGTGCGGGGAGCCAGAGCTGAGTCACGATTACAGGAACCCAGCATGCGTCCCCATCATGGGTCCCCCGTGAGACTCCTAGGTCCCCTCTGTTATCTATCTAAAGTAGTCACTCTGGTTGTCCAGTCTTCCATCAACCCTGGGGTCCTCGGGGCATCCTGTGGGTTTCCAGGCAGTGGATGCAGGCATCCGACCCCCAGACCTTGACTCAGTCTCGGGGCCCTGGCCCGTGCCTATGAAATTGCTGACCGTGCTTTGTTTCTCTCTGACTTATCTCCCCTACCCCCGGGTACGGATGGTTTTAGGACCGGGCTCTTCACCCCGGACTTGGCATTCGAGGCCATTGTGAAAAAGCAGGTCGTCAAGCTGAAAGAGCCCTGTCTGAAATGTGTCGACCTGGTTATCCAGGAGCTAATCAATACAGTTAGGCAGTGTACCAGTAAGGTATTGGGCCCTTGGCAGGGTGACTCCTGGCCTTGGAAGCGGGGGTATGGGGGTTTGGTATCAGGCTCCCAGTGCTGCTCCAGCCTTTGCCCTTCCCCCCACCCCCGATTGCCTCAGTTTCCAAGAATGTGGCCTTCTCCCTGGGGCTCGGGCGGCGGTGTTGGCCTGGGCGCGATGTCCGGGAGGGAGGGGGGTGCGCCAAGCCTCCAGAACTGGCCTGACTGGTGGGCAGGGCTCCCTGGGACCCTGATACCAAGCCTAGCATGTGTCTGATGGACGTGGGGGTTTCGTTGGGCTGTCGCTTTGCTGCCTTCTGGGAAGCAGAGAGGGACCCCGCGTCAGCTGTTGGAGGCCAAGCTCCCTGAATCCCCCCCCCACCAAGCCGTCACCCCTTCTTAATGAATGCCTGGCACCCTCAGGCTTTCCTGGAGCCAGCCACTTCTCTGTCCCCAAGGCACTAAGAGAGGTCCGAATGCTGACAGCAGACTGAGTGGGTGCCCAGCCCAGCAAAGCTGGCTCCACTCCTTGATGCCTCCACCAGGAGCCCTGGCTCCCTCCGGGCGTGGAGCTGTCCCCCCAGGCAGCACGTCCTCCCAGTCACTAGGCCCCAGGCACCCGTGTGCTGGTTTTCACGGGCCACCATCTCTGGCCGGCGGGACGCGCTGGGCTCCCCCGCAGTCCTGGTTCCCAGGGCAGCACGCTTTGGCCGGACAGCTGAAGTCCTTCCCAGCGGGCGGTTTATGCTTGCACGTCCGCAGAGGCCCCAGAGCCCTGGGTCGGTCTCCTAAGGCAGGGAAACTCTGCTTGAGCCTTCTGTCTCAGTCTGGAAAAGCCCACATTTGCTTCTTAAGCTTCTTCGATTAGAAAAGGGAGAGAGAGAAAAACCTAGATGGGGTGGACATTATTGTCCTAGAGTCCATTGTCACAGGTGTGAAAATTCAAGGGCTTCACGTTCCCTTCGCCGTCCGAATGGTGATACTGACCCCCTAGCCCCACTCCAGCCCCAGCCTCCCCTCCGACCCAGGACTCCTCCTTGATCCGAAGCAGCTTCCGGGGCAAATGCGGGCACAGGCTCCTACTTGCATGTCACTAACCAGCTGACTCTCCTTTCTTCTCTCTCTGTCTCCCATCCCACGTGTGTGGCCTGCACTGTCCCTGGGTGTCTTTCTACCTCATCCCGCCCTCCGCATGACCCAGGACGGGGCTCTTCACCCCCGACATGGCCTTTGAAGCCATTGTGAAAAAACAGATTGTAAAGCTTAAAGAGCCGAGTTTGAAGTGTGTTGATCTCGTGGTCTCAGAGCTGGCCACGGTCATTAAAAAGTGTGCCGAGAAGGTAACCGAAGGTTTTGTTGTCACCTGCGCATTTGTCCCACATCTCCTCTCCCCCCATGTTAGTCTCCACCTGCGCATCTGGAAAGTCTGCCTCAGCAGGCACCCCCTTCCGTGGGCCACCTTTTGCTTGGCAACATCTCAACTTTGCCTGGCAGACAAGAGGGGGGAGTCGCAGTGCCTGGGTGTTCCACATTTCCAGTTTGGGCTCTGATGGGGACAGGAGGCCTGGGGTGTTGCCAGGGACAGTCACCAAGCAGGCAGTGGGCGGCAGTGCCTGTTCCCGGAACCCCTAATTAGAGGAGGAGGGTCTCCACCCGTCACCTAGCGTGAACTGTGATTGGCGCGCAGATCTGCGAGTTCACGTGTTACGGGGCATTTCAGAGGCTTTCTACTAGTGACTTTAACCGTCCGCTCAGTTTTCCCCAACGCGCGGACTTAACCCAAACCTCGGAGGGTGGGCTTCTCTGTGCATTTGGTTCAGTTAGGATCGGGGAAGAGCCTTCTGTAAGGGGGTCCCTCTGAGGTAGATGGCCCAGATGCTGCTCCCGTCATCTTAGAACAGGCGCTACTCACTCACGAGCTGGGCGAGAGTTCCCGCCCCACTGGCCCGCTAGCCCTGATTAGGCTTGGTGTCCTTGCTCTCACCCCCTGCTGGGCGGAGGGGGTGGCCGTCACTCTCGGGCAGTAGACACACACCACCCACTTTCTCTTGCCACTTTCCACCTTCAAATCCACTCTCAAGAAGCATCTCTGCTCGTGCGTGGGCGCCCTGTCACTCTGGCACACCGTTGCCCCACCGTCCCCTTCTTGTCTCCCAGCTAGGGCAGCTATGAGACAGGAGTGCGGTGGGGACTCGGTAGGCCCACCCCTGGTCACTCCCCTTCCCCCGTGTTCTCTCTGTGGTTCATGTTGTTTCCTGTGCCACGAGGACTCAACCAATGCCACCACCTACCCCCCCCGGCCCCCCAGCTCAGCTCCTACCCCCGCTTGCGAGAAGAGACGGAGCGAATCGTCACTACCTACATCCGGGAACGGGAGGGGAGAACCAAGGACCAGGTAATTGGCTTTTTGTTTGATTTTTCGGGTATAATTTATGTGTGTAGTTTTTTTTTTTTAAGATTTTATTTATTTATTTATTTTTTAATGATTTTATTTATTTATTTGAGAGAGAATGAGAGATAGCACGAGAGGGAAGAGGGTCAGAGGGAGAAGCAGACTCCCTGCTGAGCAGGGAGCCCGATGCGGGACTCGATCCCACGACTCCCAAGTTCATGACCCGAGCCGAAGGCAGTCGCTTAACCAACTGAGCCACCCAGGCACCCTGTGTGTAGTTTTTTTTTATGTGGTTAAATCTTGAGCATACATTGCCTTGAATAATGACAGATGCGTAAAGCAAGGTGACCCCCACCTCAGTCAGGCCTCCACCTCTGTGACCCTCAAAATTCCTGTCCTTTGCCCCAACCCCAACCCCCAGGCCCTGGCAATGACTGGTGTGCTCCCTTGTGCAGAATGTCACTCAAATGGACCCCTGTAGTATGTAGCATCTTGGGTCTACCCTCCCTCACTCAGCATGGAGCGTTCAGGATTCATCCCTGTTGTACGGGGTGTTTGCGAAGGTTGTTGCTGTTGATCGCTCATTGGTGTCCCGGGTGTGTGTGGACCACAGCTTATTTATCCATTCGCCCAGCAGAGGATGTGTGGGTGCTTTTTAGGTATTAACAGTTTTCTTGTGGAGACCGTCCAAAGTGTGTGTGTGTGGAGGCACACACAAAGATGGAGAGTGGGGCCGGTCCCCACACCTCTGCGGCACGGGTCTCACCGGTCACGTGCTGAGTGAGCCCACGGCTGTCCTTTTGTCTCCGTAGGGCCCACGTCTGGTCTCAGTCCCTCCCCCCAGTCGTCCACCGTGACCTCTTGGCAGGTGTTTGTTCAAATCAGAACAGGCCCCCGTGTTGTATTCGGTTGTGATGCCACCCCATGTCACCCATCAGTGGAGCAGGACATGGCTCATTTGTCCTTCAGAGGGTCCCCCAGTCAACCTGCGCTCCAGCCCATGTGGCTTCTGTAGCCCAGAAGTTGTATCAAAAGCTCGAAAGATTCCAGTTCGTTTTGTTGTCGTCAGGGATGTGGCTGTCCCTTCGCCACGCCAGAGTGCCTGGTTGTCCCATTGCCAGCACCTCTGGGCACTGGCCCAGGGCTCCGGCCCATTGAGCTCAGGCTTATAAAACCAGCAACCGTGGCTCCCATGCACAGAGCCCCCCAGCATTTTCCAGCAACCCCACAAGGTCCAAGTGCCTGGCATGTTTCACGCTTGAGTGCTCAGAGGCACAGTGAAATTACAGGAAGGGGCAGGGTGTTGTGTAAAGGCCTGTCCCTTAGCTGAGATGACATCCTGACTGGCTCCTAGCTGCCTGGGTTTGTGTGTTCCATTCTCGTGCCCTCACCTGGCCAAATTGCTTTCGCTGGGCTTTTGTTTGTTTCTTTTTTGTTTGTTTTCTTAAGATTTTATTTATCTGACACAGAGAGAGAGCGCACAAGCAGGGGGAGCGGTAGGCAAGGGAGAAGCAGGCTCCCCACTGAGCAGGGAGCCGGATGCGGGGCTTGATCCCAGGACCCTGGGATCATGACCTGAGCCGAAGGCAGATGCTTAACTGACTGAGCCACCCAGGCGCCCCTGCCTTTGCTGTTTTAATGCAGCACTTACAACACGCCAGGCGCTACTCTAAACATGCTGTGAATGATTTAACCCTATGCAGCCGGGCCTCTCGTCGCCCCTTTCCACTGTTCCGTAACCTGTGGCCAAGGGTCACACCACCAGGCAGGGGCCGAGCGAGACTGCAGCCCAGGTGGTCAGCCCCAGAGGCCGTGCCTGCGCCCACCACACGGCTGCCTCACTTTGCTCTGTTGGCCCAGTCTTTCTTTCTTGTGAGGCCCTGAAGGTTCAAAGTACCCATGCCCCCTTCCCTCTGCAGATGTACCCCAAGGTATGTATGTGTGGTCGCAGGCCTCCCGCCAGGGAAGCAGTATGATTCCAGCCCCCCCTGCTGGTGGGTGTGGGAAGGGCTCCCGCCATTGCCATCCCTGCCAAGCTCAGCTCCGTGCTCATAGTTAACCCCGCTTTCTTCCAGATTCTTCTTCTGATTGACATCGAGCAGTCCTACATCAACACGAACCACGAGGACTTCATTGGTTTTGCCAAGTATGTACTTTTCAGGACAGTGGCCGGTGGGTGGCACCAGTGCCTGCCCTCAGAGCCAGGCCCCAAGGGAGGTGGTCGAGTTGGCTTCCCTCAGCCGACTAGGGCAAGAGGGTCTTTCTGTTGGGGTACTGGGGTGAAGCATGGAGCCGCCTGGGGGTATCTGGAAGCTTTCCTGGGCTAACAGCAGCCCCCGTCCTCATTGTCCTCAACGTGCCTCCTGTGGGCTGACCTCTGGTCAGCCGCCTCGGGAAGGGTGAGGCTGGCAGCATGCTTTCCTTCCTGCGTGACTTCTCAGAGCCTTCCATAAACTATGCAGCTTTCCCCAGCCTCCCCCATCTGCACTTGGCCCTTTCACGGAGCGTCTCACGGGCTCTGGGCTCCGACTCGGGGCTGCTCGCTGGGAGGTGCTGTCCAGGCCCTCCATGGCTTCCATCTATACACCGTAGATTCAAAACTGGAACTTTCCATGGCACCTGGACAAGGGGCCAGCGCAGGGATCTCTGATTTGGGCATGATGTAGATGTAAATGCTGGCGGCCTCAAGCATTGCTCGCTGACTCCCTCAGCCCCTGGGCCCGCCCTCAGCCAGCTTGGGCGTTATGTAGATTGTTCTGGTGGCTCCTGAAGGTCTTCTTGCCCGAGCCCAGCAGAATCACAGAATCAGCAGTAGCCAGCTTCCTTGCATTCACTTAGCAAGTATTTCTGGTGTGTGTTCTCTGTGCCAGGCTCTGTGACACAGCAGTGAGCAAGCACAGACCCAGGTCCCCACCCTCAGAGGAAGGTCCCGTGCCAGAGACAGACATGCACCAAACCAGTTAAGACACAGTGCCGTCACTGCTGGGGTCAGGGCTGTGTGAGGCTTGTGTTGAGTCCGGAGGGCCACCTTCTGGCCTAGCCTCGGGGTTGCAGGGAAGCTTTCTTGTGGAGAAGTACCTGTTAGAGCCCAGTGTTGGGCTAGCTGTCTGGACAAGAGGATCTTTCGCTCAGGGGTCTCTGTGCTGGACTGAGCACTTACTGGGTGGAACATTTATACTTGCACTCAACAGAGTTGGTCAGCTGATCTTTGCTGGGCACTTGGTAGGTGAGTGGAAGGAATGAATGAATGGACGAATGAATGAGGGCATGATCAGAAGCTGCTCCCCATGCCCAGACGAGCCAAGGGCCCTGGTTGGGCCGTGCCTGCTATGGGAGGGCTGGGGGACCATGACCACGGGCCGCACCGCAGGTGCACCCCCTGCGCCTCTTTCCCCAGCAGCCAGGTGTGTGTGGGCTGAAAATGCTGGTCCCGCTCTTTGGTTTGCTGCTGTTTTCCTCACCTTGATGTCTCTGCTTCTCACACTTCATTCACAGTTCCTTCTCACAATCTCTCCTGTTTTTCCTTTGACCACTCCACTCTTTCCTCTGGATTCCTGGGCCTTCCCACTTCCCCCAGCTGTTATTATACTGAGCAGCTGGTGACCGGGTGGGTATTGCCTGCTGTGTGCCTTTTTCCTGGTGTGTGAACGGGGTCACCCTGGCTGGGCGCGGGAGCCCAGGGTGCCAGGCTCCGCCCAGCCCAGGCACAAGCCAGGGTCCCAGCCTTGGGGGCGGGGGGGATGTCCCCGGGGTCCCACTGGATAGCCTTGGAGCGCTGTCTCGGAGCCAGGCCCAGTGCGGGGCCTTTGGGGCAGGACGGTGAACAAGCCACACTTGGCCTTGCCCTTTCAGAGCCCACAGGCTGGACACGTGTTCTTGAGCACTTTGTCACAAGGCAGTCTAGAGTTGGAAAGGAGAGTAGGTGAGGGGCTGTAGGAAAGTGGAGCAAGGGATGTGGCCTAGAGAGACCATCAGGTGACAGTCAGGGGACCCAAACAGTGTTGGAGACAAGGAAGGAAGGCCAAGAAGGAGTGAGGCATGGGGAAACCAAAGCAAGGTGGAGTTGAGAGACCAGGCCCCCTTGCCAGGAGGGCCCTGCAGGCCGGGGGGAGGACTTTGGACTCCTTCCCCCCACTGTTCCCCACTCCCTCCCACTCCCCCATCCCCAATAGCAAGACATTCCTGATTGGGTAGAGGCAAGGGAAGGGGGCAGCTACATCAGCTGCCAGGGGAAGGTGGGAGCCAGGAAGCCCCTCGGAAGCAGCACATCTGGGACCTCACTGGCATCTAGCCATCACTGTGTGTGTCTTAGTCAGTCCTGTCTCCTTCAGACACTGTTGACCGAACTCCATCCTGTGCTTAGATGTTCTGGGCTGCTTTCTCACTGCCCTCTAAACACAAAAACCAGGGCCCAGAGAAAAAGCTTTATAATGAATTTACTGAATGTTAGGAAAATTGTTGGATAAATTCTTCCCCCGTACTCAATGTTCCAGCCTTTACTGATCTAGGAATAGAAGCCTATTTCCTTAACTCTCTTTCCTTCTCTCTCTCTCTCTCTCTCTCTCTCTCTCCCCTTTATCCCAACAGCAGCTTGAACTTTCAGGTACAGCCCCAGAGGCAGCCAGTAAAGGAATGACACAAGGTGGTTTGCCTTGTCATATTCTGAAAGTTCCTAAAGCAATACGTATTCCTAAAGGAGTATCTTATTCCTAAAGCAATACGACAAGAAAAGAAAATAGGATGTCTAAGTTATAGGAGATATCCATTATTTGCAGGTGGCGTTGTGATTGTCCCAGTGGAAAATAGGATGAACAAGGGAGCTGAGTAGGTTCACACATACAAGACATGTGACCTTCATCTGTGTGGCACAAACTAGCTACGAAACAGGATAGCTGAAGAGGAAAAGAGATCAGGGACTATAGACAAGGGACCTTAGAGAAACACACCCCGTGGACCTTATCTCTCCTCTGCATTGGGCCAGGAGCCATCCAAGATGTTTTCATGGTGGGCAGCTGTCCCATGGTCTGATCTCCCAGGCTGGCTGGCTCTGTGGTCAGAGCCTTTGAAGACTTGGTGCCGGGGTCAGTGATGGGAAGAGAGGGTGGGAAGAAGCCTCAAGTCTGACCCCCCAAACAGCCTGGTGCTCAGGTTACTCTGAAGCCACTACGGCCCCTTCCAAGCCACATGGGAGTCCAGCTTCTCAGGCCCCCGCCTTGGAGGCTCTGGGGCCGTTGACCCCTGGAAATAGCTGGTGCTCTTGGGAGTGGCTGAGGTCAAGGCCTCGAAGCCTCAGTTTACCTAAATACATTTTCTCGTTGCATGAGCCCGACTCTTTCCCTTGGGCAGCCCCTTGTGCATAAGGGGCTTCTCTCTGCCTCTGCCCTTAGCTGATCCCTTGGCCTCCCCAAGGGACAGAGTCCCTCCCGCGTGTCGCCACACGAGTCCTCTCTCTGCTTTGTTTTCAGCGCCCAGCAGAGGAGCACACAGCTGAACAAGAAGAGAGCCATCCCCAACCAGGTAGCCCACCCCCCTCAGCCCATAGCTCTACCCTTGGGGCCGATGGGCACTTAGGGACCACTGAGCCCAGTGATGGTGCCTGGCTCGTGGCATATCCTACCAGACCCTTTACCCCCACTCCCCAGCCTCTTGAGTCTGTTCAGGTTTTGATGTTTCAGGAAACCCATCTTTGAGCGGAAGCTCTGGCACAGGTTGGGGGGCAAATTTGTACACCCACAAGGCCCCGTCTGACATCCAATGCCACACTTAGAACTTGACCCTTGAGAGAGGGGCAGCCCAGTCACCCATGGGTGTCTGCAGACAAATTGGGTTCCTGGTCCTAGCGCCAGAGACTCAGAATCTGTGGGAGGGCCTGGGTGGGAGGCTGCGTTGTGATAAGCAGTTCTGGGGAGCCTGAGGGTGCTTTGAGCCCCATACCCGGAAAAGCCCAGAGCCACGGGAAGGGTTTTCTACCTCGATGTCATGCCCCAGCCAGAGGCCTTGGGCATGAACAATATGAACAGCTTCATATATGCCAGTATCAGGTGCCTCTTTTTTTCTTTAAGAAAACACATCATCTTTGCAAAAATTTCTGTCAGTGCCCACCCCGCTTTTCCACATTAGATGGGGTGGGGGTGGGGGCAGGGGTGGGGGCTCTGCTATACTGCACGATTGTTGAGCCCTCTGGAAAAGAAGGATGTAACCACTGCATGATTTTTTGTGCTTGCCGTAGGTAATACATATGTTGTTGCTTTTTATTTCGGGAGATGATAATGAATTAAATATTAACACCATGAATATAATTAATAGCATGTAATTTTTTTTCTTTTGCTGTTTTTTTCCCCCTGCTCTTCTCTCCTCCCATTTTTTGTGCTTTTCCTGCTTTTTCTCTGTCCCCTCATGTCCCTTACGTTTCTTTTCCTCTGCCTGCTCTTCTTTGATTTACCCACAATCCTAACTTTGCATTTTCAAAGGGGGAGATCTTGGTAAGTACCCACTTAGCGTGGTAGCAAACATTAGAGAACCTGAGAGTGGTGGAGACCCCGCCACCTTGTAATGTCCCTAGAATAACAGAACAACTAAAAATCAAGCTAACCTAAAAACCACCTGCCATGGCCAACGCCTGCCGGACTTCGTGTTGCCCTGGGCGTAAGCCAACTCACACAGACACTAACCTGACCACCATCCTTGTAGGAGGCTCACCCTCCAGCCCATTCCTGACACATTTAGCTAGTTTCCTATAGGTCAGGGATGGCAAATATTCAGCTAACACCTCCCAAGTTTCCCTCCCCTCACCTCCCTGGCCAGGGAAGATTTTGCTTAAGTCCTACTGGAACTCGTTCTTGCTGCTGCCACCACTCCAGTGCAGACATCATCGTGCCGGAATTTCCTCCTTCTGCACTCGGCAGACATTACTAATGGATCCAGCACTCTTTCCTTTGTGCCTCTCCCCGGCGTCTGCCGGAGGTAGGCATAGCTAATCAATCCTGGCATTCTTTCCTGAGCATGCCACCATTCCCCATTCTGTGGCAGATGTGACTAACTGGTCAAAGAATGCTTTTTCCACGTGGTAGCTTTGCACGTGACACCCCTCCAACACCCATGAGAGACATGACTGATTGATCAGGGAACTCTCTCCTGGATGCTGCCACTATCCTTCTGTCCCCGTGGCAGATACGATGATTGATCAGACTGATCTGTTCCACTTGCTCCATTCTCTTGTATCTGGCCTGTGGCAGACATCACTAATCGATCCTAGCACCCTTTCCGGCTGCGTCCGGAATTCTCACTAACGTGGCAGCTGTCATGCATTGATCAGTGGGGCCGCCCGCGATGAATGGTATTTGCCATCCCTGTTATAGGGAACACCTCCTCTCCGTGTGTGGCCCAGCCCAGCCCAGTGGGGAGCAGGTGCTGCTCCCATCTGAGAGGTGAGCTGTTTTCAAGGTGCTCACCTCCAGGCAGCGGGCTTCAGCCCCAGCTCTCCACCTCAGAGAGCAAGGCCTGGGCCTCCTTTCTCCGGGATGTTCTCCCACCTCCGGCCCCTGAGGCACTGGGCGCCCTAGCTGCTGCCCTCTGGCAGGGATCTTCTGGTGAGCCCCGGGGGTCTTCGCAGTAGCTGAGCCGATCCTGTGCCAGGGCTGCGCTGCACCTGGGGCCTGGAAGGTGCACAGAGAGCCAACGCTGGGCAGGGTCGGGTGGGGGCAGTGGCAGGAGGAATGGCTGGTCCTTAGGCCCGTGGCTCCCATTTTCCCCATGTCGCCCTCAGTGCTCTTTGAACCGTTTCCTTCCTCCACACCGCCCAGGGGCCTGCTTCTCGCACCCCAAGAAGTTTAGTCATTTTCCTGCCAGATTCCACGTCCCCAGCCACAAAGCCCAGCCCTGCCACATCCATCAAGGCTTTGGGCCCCCCAGGTCTCCCAGCCATGGTTTCCATTCCTGCCCCGGGCGACTCAGGCTGAGACACTCACCCAGGAGGAGGCTGACCCACCCTACCGGCGGGCCCCAGCTTGCTGCTTCCTGCCAGCCACCCGCCCGTGCTGCTCCCGGCGGCCCTTCCTCCCATCCCGGGCGTGCCTGCATGCCTGTCGCTGTGCACCCTGGAGCGTGGGAGCCTGCCTGCCTCTTCTGTCCCCTGCCCCTCTCCTTCTAAGCCAGGCCCCTGGGGCACAAGTCTGGGTTTTGGATGAGGAGGCCCAACTCCCTCGCCTCTAGACTCCGCCCGCGCGTGTGTCTGCAGCCCACAGCTTGCACCTCCCCAGCGTGGGATTTCGTCTCTGACCCCACTTGGCTCCCACACAGACAGCTCTCTGGGCAGTTCGAGGGGAAGGGGACCTTGGAGGCTTCTCCAAGTCTACCCAGCAGCCTCCTGCCTCGAGGCTCAGATGTGCCATTCCCGGCCTGGCCCGGCAGTGCCTCCACCCCGAGGCCACACCGCCCATAGCGTGGCCAGGGCCCTGTCGGCCAGCTCCACCCGCTGCTCACTGAGGGTGGCGGCAGGTGAGCTAGGCCCCTGAGAAGCTGGTGGGGCACATCTGCCCCCTCGGGAGCTGGGCTGAGCCCCAGAGTAGGGAGGCCTCATCATGTGAAGATTTCTCTTCTGGGGAGCATTGACCACCTGTGTTCACCTCCTGCTCCCCTTCCCCTGGTTGTCAGTGACTGAAGTTTAAAAGTACCTAATCTGCCTGGCCTGGGCTAAGGCTAAGCAGGCCCCGCCCTGCCCCCTGGGGTGGGGAAGGAAGGAGCCGGTGTGAACACACAGACCCACACCGCCCTGGGGCCAGGGACTTCTTCCCGGGTCATGTGCAGAATGGCCTCGGGCCTGAGTGTGAAGACCAGCCTTGCCCTCAGCGTGACCAGACATTCCCCTTTGCCTGGGCCTGGGGGTGGGGGGTGTTCCCAGGACTCCAGATGTTCAGTCCTAAACCAGGGTGCCCTGCAAGGATGAGCGTAGTGGGGCCGGAAGCCTCTGCCCCCTAGCCCGCCAGGCAGCCCGTGGTTGGGCAGGTGCTTCCTGGGGGCCACAGGTCTCCCCGGTGCTCTCATCATCACTAGGAAGACTGGAGAAGGGCTGCCAGGTGGGATCCCATGCTGTCCCCAGCCTGGGAAAGGGCTTCCGGGGTAGTGCAGGGGTCCCTGGGTGCACTCAGGCCACCTCCACCTTCATGGCCTCTGAGGCTCAGAGCCTGATTCCAGCCATAGGAGGCAGGTGGCCCTGTGAAGATTTGACAGGCTTGGGGGCAGGTCAGAGAGCAGGGGATGAAGACCCTCTTGAGACCCACCCATTAGGAAGACATGTAGCCTCCAGAGTCATCCCTGGAGCCCCATCTCCGGAGCTTCTGCCACGCCCCACCCTGGGGGGGACTCCACACCAGTCCTTCCCAGCTGTCCTTGGCCGCACGTCTGTAGCTTGGCCCGGTCTGTTGCTGCCTGGGCCCCAGGCGGCCCTGCCTGTGTCTCCATGTGCTTCCCGCTGCCCTGGGGTCCCCAATCCAGACTGATGGGTAGCTCCGGTCCACACATGCCTCATGACCCAGGGAACATGGGACCATGGCCCCCCAGGCTGCCTGCATGTAGCTGTCAGGTGAGTCCTCTGTGTAGGCCTCGGTTCTGCCTCCTACTCAGATGACCGCTGCGGCCAGATGAGCCCCATCTGGGGATCTTCCAGCCAGAACCTTAACGTGTCAGAGAAAAGTAAGCTTGCCCCCGGGTTTGAAGCTAGCGTGGGGCATGATCCCCCTGCAGGTTCCCCAGGCTCAGACCTTTGGCCCCAGCCCTCTGGGTGGAAGCATCCCTTCCTCCTAATTTCGGGAAAGAGGCTGTGGGGAAGGGAGCCCCAGGACAGAGACTGGACACCATCCCTGTTCAGCGCAGGTCCCTTTGCCCACCGAGTGTCCTCCTGAGTTGAGTGAGTTGGGCAGATGAGCCAACAGAATGGGCAGCAGAGTTGCCGCTGCGCGTTGAGCCTCTGCTGGTCAGCCACAAAAGGAGGGAAAGAACCACTCCCATTTTGTAGCAGGTTCCTGCAGCCTTCCCTCAACAGCCACCTTCCAGAGGGTGCAAGGGGCGGGGTCTGAGGGCGGCATGGTACCTGGGTCTTGCAGGTGTGATTCCTCCAATGGTCACATCCCATGTGACACACGTATGGGCCCGGGACCTTCCCTGGGCCCCTTCTAGCCAGGCATACCCGTTATTGCCTGCGCGAACAGAACCTAACCCCGTGTGTGCAGGGGGTCTTACGGGGGTCTGCTCCCTGTCAGCCCTGGGCCTGCGAGTAAGTGTGCGTGCCCTGTGTCTGTCTGCCTGGGCGTCCCATGTTGGTTGCCAGTGGGAAATGCTTAGGGGTGAGGTGGAGTTGGGTTGCCTGGCTTCAGGCTGGAGGTGTCCCTGCTATGGTCCCTCTTCCTTCCTGGGGACAAGGGCCCTGGCCACTGCACAGGGGTGGGCCGGGCGGGGTAGCAGGCGTTGTCCTCTGAGCAACACCCTCCCCCCCAGGTGATCCGCAGGGGCTGGCTGACCATCAACAACATCAGCCTGATGAAGGGCGGTTCCAAGGAGTACTGGTTTGTGCTGACTGCAGAGTCTCTATCCTGGTACAAGGATGAGGAGGTGAGTGGCTGGGGGTCAGGGCAGTGGGGCTGGGATGGGTGGGTGCTCACTCATTCACTCTGGTTCATTCAAGAAAGGCTCCCTGAGCACCGCCAGTATCCCAGAGCTCCCGCAGAGAAGAATGGTAATGGCCAGGCTGGCCCCCTAGGGGTCCAGCCGGATGGCAGCTCCAACCCTCCAGGCTGGAAGGGAGATGGGGGAGGGGAGCCCTCAGCCGGCTAGAAACTGATCACAGCCCCCAAAGTCACAGTGAGGCATCCCTGGCTCTCAGAGTGGGCAGGGCCCGAGGTCAGGGACTCAGGCTCACAGCCAGGCTGCTGAGGTGCTGGGCTTCCAACATCTGCAACCTGCACAGGCTCAGCCGGGCCCGTAGCCTCCTTAGGCCTCTGTTTCCCCATCTACGAAGTAGAGCGGAATGGGCCCCGTAACGGGCCTTAGCTATAGTGTCTTTCGAGCGGTCCGCATGTGCTTGTCCTTATCCAAAGAACGTGCGGAGGCCTCTGGGAGCACTGACCCGGGGGAGTAGCCCGCCGGCCGCCTCATACCGCAGTCTCCGTGACCCTGTGGGCAAGGGCTGCGAGTCCAGCGGGCAGCCTCAGGCAGCGCCGCAGTCGGAGTCCCTTTGCCTCCACACAGGCCCATCCTCCCGTCCCGAGTGGCCCATTGCTTTGCTTCGTTCTCTTAACAACATGGCCGCGGCTTAGTGGCCCCGGAAACGATGCCGCCCCAGGGTGACTGCCTGTTGTGCTGTTGTGGGCTGGGCTGGCTTCTGAGGGTCACCAGCGAGGTGCACTGTGTTTCTCTCATTTTCCTGGGCCTACAGGCTCTCCCCGTTGGCCGGGGCGCTGTTCGGTGTCTGACAGAGACCCGAGGGAAGGCATTGACAAGTCTGTCTGAGGGCAGGTGGGGATGACGCTTTTGCATTTTCACCCTCCTTCCGCTCTCGTTGTCTGAAACCCAGTCTGCTCTGGTGCATCAGCTGCCAGGCACGCCGAGGGCTGGTCTCCACCTTGGGCCCAGGCATCTCCGCCCAGGGTGGGAGTGCCAGCCTTGGCCACAGCCTTGGGCAGCTGTAGAGGGACTTCTGGGCCCAAACCCTGTCCCAGCAGTTCCCCGCCAGTCCAGTTTTCAGAGCTCCTTCTTTCAGCGTAGGAGGGGCTCCTTCATTTTCCCGTCGTGTGGGGGTTGAGAGCAGGAGCCCCAGACCCTCCTGTGGGCCCAGACCAGAGGCACGGAAGCGCCGGGCGGGAGGAGGGGGGGAGCGCCCGCCGGCAGTAACGAGAACCAGCAGGCCCGTGAAAGGAGCCCTGTGTGCGCCCCAGACACAAAGCAGGCTCAGATCGGGAGGGACCCTCAGAGTTACACACGTGGCCGAGACCCCCCGACGACCAGGCCACCTTCTCAGAGACCCCTCAGAGAGGCAAAACGTTATTTCTTTATTTTGAAAAACCACTGAGAGGAAGCAGGTCCAATGTGGGGTAGGGATAGGGGACTGATTCAGCCAAGAGCCCCCCGACCCCTCAGCAGGCGGCAGGCTCCCTCTGCCTCGCCCTGGCACCTCTCCTCCCACCCAGGCCCTTTTGTGACTCCCCAGTCTTTTGTCCAGGTCTCCACCCCAGTGGGAAGCAGGGCGGTGGGCGCCGACACTCACCTCCGGGTCTGCCTCGCTGTGGAAGCGGCAGCAAGTTTGGGGGGTGCAGGTCCTGACGTGCCGCTTGCCCGAGCCCAGCCTAACCAATGTGCAGACTACTGTACACATTCAGAGCCCCCTGAACAGGTAGTCTGAACACTGGGTTGGCGGGGCCGGCTGTCCATCCTGCAGGCCCCCCGGGGTTGGGGGAGGGGGCAAGTAGGGCCACCGCGCCCCGGCCCCTCGGAGCAGGCGAGGAGGCCACTGCCTGCGCCGATCCACTTCGTCTCTTCTGACGTGGCATGGCTGGGGCCGGCTCGCATCTGGAGAAAGTTGTGGGTTTGCAGGAAATCCTAAGGAGGGGGTTGGGGAGCGGGTGGGCGTGGGCGGGAGGGAGGGTTTGGGTCCGCGGCCTGTGTGTGCCGGCGAAGGTCTCTTTGGGGGTCGGCTGGGGGCGGGGTGCGCGCACGGCTCTGCGGCTGTGTGTGTGTTTGTGCTCTGTGTGTGCGTGTCAGCAGCACCAGGAAGGCAGTCGCTGCGCTCTGGGCGGAATCACACTATAAACAGTTCCAGATGTGGCGTCTCGCTCAGGGCCCACAAGGGCTGTGACTCAGTTACTTGGCCTGGCTAGCCGACTGGAAGCTTCCTGCCTCCTGACACAGCAGGGTGGGGGCAGCAGAGGCCCTTCCACCATCTTCCGTGCGGGGAACCCTTGCCCTGGCCCCTTCTAAAGCCCCCAAGACTTTTCTTGGGGAGGTTGGTGGGGCCCTGGGCCTTGCCTGGAGCCTTTCTTTGCCACCCTCTGTCCTTAGACTTCCAGAATGCAGCCTGAATGGGGGTTTCCCGGCTCCATGGCCCCCGGGCCCCTCTTCTGCCCCTCACTGCAGCTCGGCCGGAAGGAGCACTCTGCCCTGCTTCCTTCTCTGCCAGAGCCCAGTGAATGGACTCTGGAGCCATAGGCGTGAGAGACAGACACACAAAAGAAAACCCTAGTAGTGCCTCATACGCTCACCTTAATCCTCACCTCACACAGGGAGGGCAGGACCCCTGTCTGCCTTTGACAGATGAGGACACTGAGGCAGAGAGGGGCAGTGGCTTGCCCAAGAGCACATGGCCAGGGAGGGGCACAGTCCATCTGAGCTCCTAAGGCTGCAGGGCCAAGCCCATGCACCAAAGTCTGCTGCTCACTCCTGCCTCTCTTCCTGTCGTCCTGAAACTTGGAGCCAGCCCCCACCTGCTAGGGAGCCCCTGGCCCCCTTCCCCTCAATCTCTGTGGCTGTTCTGGAATTTGGAGGCAGCAGCACGTTGGGCTCTGTTCTGGGGCCTTCTGGTACACAGGGACAAAACAGGCGAAAAGTGAATTCCTGGGTGAGGCCCGGACGTAAAAGAAAGGGTGATGGGCAGAACCTGGCTTTGGGGCACATGGGCCTGGCTTCTGAAGTCCCACTGTGGCCCACTCCCCCTGCCCTGTGGCAGCCACCTCCCCTCTCTGAACACAGCGCTTCACTGGCAGAGATGGGGGAAGGTCACTGGAGCGACTGTGGGTCAGGTGGGCCTGGGAGCCAGGGGATCCTGATGCACCCTGATACTGTTCTCTGGTTTCCTGATGTAGAAAACTCATTAATGGCCCCCCACACACACACACACGCTGTCCCCATGGGGAGGTCTAAGATGATGCACCTGCAGGGGCCCAGCCCCACGCTGGGGGTACAATAGGTGCTTAGCCACTGTCGGTGAGTAAACGTTGGCTTCCGTGACCCACATCCTCCCTGAGCTGCTTCCCTGGCAGTCATCAGGACTGAGTGCCAGGCACTCAGTGGGCACTTCCTGAACAGGACTGCCCTTAGGAAGTGACACTTCTGTGGCCTTGGAGCTCAGGCATCACGTCGAGGGGCCTCACTTTTCAGCTCCAGGAACTTCTGAAGCTGATGAATTTTAAATCCCAGCCCCATCCCTGAATCATTGCCTGCCCCCACTTGGCCTCAGTCTCCCTCTCTGTAAAATGGGATCACAGTGGTAACTCAGTTACAGGCTCATCGTGAAGATGAAGTAGTTAATGGTTTCATTCACGCAACCTGGTGGAGAAAGGGTTGGATTCTGGGTAGAATGAGAGCTGGCCAGTGTCAAGTATCCACAGTGTGTCGGCAGTGAACAAAAGAAACGGGAGTCCCTGACCTTGAGTAACTGACAGATCAGGCCGGGTGACAGACGGTAGCCTGAGTCCATGAGCAAGGTGATGTGGTGTGTCCAGTTACATGAGGGGAAGTACCAAGAGGAGGAGGAGGAGGATTGGGGGGCGGGGTGAGAGAGAGAGAGCAAGCAAGCAGGGTGGGGACAGGTCAGGCCTCTCCAGGAGAGTCCCCTCTGCCCAGAAACCTGAAGGACGCATGAGGGAGCCATGTGGGCATTGGGAGGAGGAGCATTCCAGCAAAGGCCCTGGGGTGGCATCCAGCCCAGGGCATCCTCAGATCCTGTTAAACAGTCCGTGGTGACCCCTCCCCTTCCACCCTCAGGAGAAGGAGAAGAAGTACATGCTGCCTCTGGACAACCTTAAAATCCGCGATGTGGAGAAAGGCTTCATGTCCAACAAGCACGTCTTCGCCATCTTCAACACGGAGCAGAGGTGAGGGCCCACCGGGCCAAGGTCACTGGCCTCATTTGGTCATTCAGCGGCATCCACTGAGTGCTTTCTGCATAAAGTCCCTGCCCCGGGATCTCATGTTCTAGAAAGGGAATCAAGTAAGAGGCGGAAAACTGCCGTGGGTGCTTCCAGCGTGTGGGCAGGGAGGAGGATCTCTGGGCAGAGATGATGAAGTGAGGGGGGAGCCACAGAGGGTTCTGAGCAGAGGAGGGACTGGCCCTGGCTCGGGTGTTCACAGGCACCCCCCTGGTGGCTGTGGCGGGGGGCACAGTGGGGGTCAGGGCTGGAGCTGGGAGGCCAGGGCTGATCGGGTGGCACTGGTCCAGTGGGAGATAGTGGGAGTCGGGCCCAGGTGAGGCTGAGGACGAAGAGGAGGCGGCGGCCTATTCTGAGAGTCAGAGCTGACCAAACTCCTGGTGGATATGGGTGCAAGAGAGGAAGGCGTTTCCTGGGGACCCTGAGCACCTGCAGGGACCGAGCTGCCCTCGCTGAGATGGGGAAGGCAAAGGCAGAGTAGGCTTGGGGACGGTCAGGGGCTGGGTTTGTGCCACACCGAGGGAGAGAGGCCTGTGAGACACCACGTGGGGACGTCGGGGAGGCAGCTGTGGAGGTACAAGAGTCTGGTGTTCTGGAACGAGCTCCAGGTAGGGTGTGAGCTGGGGCGTTGTTATTGCAAGGCAGCGTTCAAAGTCATAGACGGGGTGAGACCCCTGGGTGAGTGTAGACAGAAGGGCCTGGGAGGCCCTTGGTGAATCCACCCCCACGGGCTTTGTGGGGAGATGTTAGCAAAACCAAAGATGCTTTTCTCAGCTTGGGAAGAGGCCCAGTTCTGGCAGGAGGTTCGAGAGCAGGAGGAAGGGCTGAGTGTGGACACATCCTCCCTGCTCCCCCAGGACCACCCTCCCTGCTGCCCATCGCTCCCATGCTCCCGTCGGTTCGAGGCAAGCCTCATGTCACGTTTTATGTAAGAATAGCTCAATCCAGCTTTTTTCTGGGCTGGCTGAAAGCTTTGGGGCCCACTTTGGCCATCAGCTGGCTCCAGAAATCTCTGTATCTCTTCGGCTTCCCCATCTCCCCTACCTAAGAAGCCCGAGGGCACGTGGGAGAACCTGGGCTTTGTCCTGGGACAGGCCTGCTGGGAGGCTCTTCCTTGCTGCGTGCAGGGCAGCTGCCCTGCCTCCCTGGCCCCCAATCCCCTGTGCAAGGGGGTGAAGGTCGTACCTAACGTAGCATTTAGGAGTGAGCTTAGGAAAGCCAGAATAATAGTCATGGAAACAAGATAGAAGTTTGGGTTTTCTACGGCTTTACCCTCCAGGGCAGGTGGGGCAGCTCCACAGGCTTCCAGGCCCAGGTGCTCCTACTCCTGAGACCTCCTCCTCCTTTTTCAATCATGATGTTGCAGGCAGCCCTAGGGAGGAGAAGGAGCAACGAAGGCGTGCCCCTCACTCCCTAAGACTCCTTCCAGAAGTCCGAGGGCAGCCACTCGCGGACTGCTAGCCGGCCGTAGCTCTGTCACGAGGCTGTGACTAACCTCAAACTCCGATCTCACACAGAAGCTTTGGGACGGCTTGGCCGTCTTGGCCACACCTGCCTTGTGGGACAGGATGGTGTGTGTGTGGCACAGATCCTGGCCTACAGAACACCAGCCATAAATGCCAGCCATAAATAGTGTCCATCTGCTTTTCCTCCAGCCTGTGGCTCTGAGCCTGCCTTCTGCTCGCAAACCCATATCCGCCCAGCATCCACTGGGAGTCTCAGTCCTGTCCTTGGATAGCTCAGTAGCCCTCCATCCGCCCCAGCCCAGCGCTCAGAAGTTGGGGCACATTCTAGACCTACACTGTCCAGTGCAGTAGCCACTGGCCTCATTTAGCGATTTAAATGTAAATTGACTGAAATAAAATGCAATCCAAATTAACTTCCTTCGTCACCCTAGCACTATTCGTGGTGCTCACAGAGAATCCACCTGTGGCTTCTTGCTACCACAGCTGACAACATCAGTTGAGAACGATCCTGCCATCACGGAATGTTCTTTTGGACAACTTTGCTGTCACCTCCCTGAAAACACCTTGCTGGGAGCTGCCCAACCAGGGGTGTTGAGGGACACCTGCCCTCTTCTGAGAGTATCTTTGGCAGCCTTTGGCCCCCACAGGAGAGCATGAAAGAGGAGCAGTTTCCCGGGAAAAGAGAGGCATTGACTAAAGCCCAAAACCAAAACCCCACGATGCTGCTAGATGCAGATGCTCACTGAGCACATGCTCTCCCCTCGGTACGGTTCTGGATGCTGTAGGCACTGACTTGGTGCTCCATCAGCCCGACAGGATGCCAATGCTACTGCCATCCCAGGGGTCGGTTTGTGCCTGGGTCAGGTGTGAGTCCCCGTCCATCAGAGCCCAGAGCCCACGCTCCAGCTCCTGCACCCGCCAGGCCCGTGGGCAGGGTCAAGAATGTGCCTCTTCTCTCACTGCAGGAACGTCTACAAGGACCTTCGGCAGATTGAGCTGGCCTGTGACTCCCAGGAGGACGTGGACAGCTGGAAGGCCTCGTTCCTCCGAGCTGGGGTCTACCCCGAGAAGGACCAGGTGAGGAACTGCGCTGCCTGGCCGATGCACCTTGGGCTCAGCTGACCCCTCCTGGGAGAGGAAAGGGTCCAGTGTCTCGCTGGATAGGTCATTTCCAGGCACGTATCCTGTACTCTCTTGAGCAAACAAAGGAGAAAGGGGGAGAGGGTTCTGCCATCAGGGCCCAGAAGATTCTCCAACTAAAGCCAAGGCCAGGGAGATACATGGCCTGGGATCCCATCTGTTTTGTTCGCTCTCCTCTTGTCCTTGAGGTGGAGTGAACATGGCTGCCCTCGGCCCCCAAATTAACATGTACCGGTCCCCAGGTGAGAAGGTCTAATTGCCATAGGCCATGGTCACCCCAGGTCCAGGCAGCGCAGGCCATGGGCAGGCAGGGCCCCACAGTGTCGACCTGGCCATCGGGGACATCCCCAGAAAGCTGGTATTGGGCAGGACAGGGCAAGCACTTCCCAGAGAATGGGGGCTCCCCACTCTTGCCCCAGTTCACGATCACCCCTCACCATCTGCCCTCTCCCCCTACAGGCAGAAAATGAGGATGGAGTCCAGGAGAACACCTTCTCCATGGACCCGCAACTCGAGCGGCAGGTGGAGACCATCCGCAACCTGGTGGACTCCTATGTGGCCATTATCAACAAGTCCATCCGCGACCTCATGCCAAAGACCATCATGCACCTCATGATCAACAATGTGAGTGCCCGGCCCCCGCCAGGGCCTGCCCGTCACAGGGGAGGGGGCTGGGGCCTCCACAGCCAGATTTGGCCTGAACACTGTTGGTTTTTGTTTTTAAAGATTTTATTTATTTATTTGAGAGAGAGGGAGGGAGAGCATGAGCAAGGGGAGGGGTAGAGAGAGAAGCAGACTCCCCGTGGAGCAAGGAGCCTAATGTGGAACTTGATCTCAGGACCCTAGGACCATGACCTGAGCCGAAGGCAGACACCCAACCGACTGAGCCACCCAGGCGCCCCAACATTGTTTGTATAAAATGTAAAATTAGAGTGAGTCACTACCTTTTTAACATCAGAAACAGGATTCTCAGTCTCTCGGCAAATTGGAAGGTGCAGGCCACGTGGGGCTCACTCCCATTTACATAGGTACTTGAAGCTAACACCACACGACTACACTTCCTCTGAATTTTTTCAGCCTTATAATAACCTTAGGAGAGGGATTGCTGTCATGTCCATTTTATAGACAGGACACGAGGCCTGGCAAGGTCAAGAAACCTGCCGTGAGTCACTCAGAAGAGTGGGAGGTGGGATTAAAACCCAGACTGAGTATGTCCCAAACTGTGGCCTCCTGATGGCCTGCAGCCCAGCCCACCTTCACTCGGGGGCATTACATGCCTCCCCCAGGGCTCCCGAGATGATCAGGGCTTTAGGCTCCTCTTTGGTGAAATGCAGCTATACTAAGGTCTCCCACTCTAGGTTGCTGGGAGGGTGCGGGGGGCTCCTATCTCGGGCCTTCAGCTCCGCTAGGCACTCAGGAATCTATGTAGACCAGGTCTGGCTTATGTCGTGCCTATAAAAGCTCTCAGTGTAACAGGGTCTAAAGCAAAAATCCCAAATCCCTCTTCTTCACAATCTCCTTTGGGATGAGCAGTGCTAAGTTTCATGGGTGTGCTGGTCTATCCCTCGCATATAAATGGGACTTATGATTAAATTTAAAATACGTACGTGGTTTGGCTCCAAAGATCTATTTGCAGGAATTTTTCCCACAGAGACCTTTGCCCATATTCAAGTTGAGCACATACATGCTTATTATTTTAGCATTGTTGTGTAGTGGCCAAAGATTGGAAGTTTCTGTCCCCTTAGTGGAATCCATTTAGTACCTAGCTATTCTATCAAAAAGAAGAGGAGAAGGATTTCCGGGTTGATACTAACTCTCAGTCATGCAGTGGAAAACTGTGGAGCATAACAGAATGTACAGGAAGCCTCCATTTGTCTAAAAGGGGAGGGAAATGAACTCTCAAGCCTGGTCATTTTTGCAGATGCTGAAAGTTCAGCTGGGAAAAGTCAACATCTATTCTTAAAAAAGACAATGGTAAAAGGAGTCTTTTGTTATGAGTCTGTGTGTTTCAGTCTCAAAACCACTCTTGCCCTGAAGGGGAAAGCTCGGAAAGCATCCCCTCTAAAATCAAGAACAAGTTGGCCATCTCCACTTGTGTTTAAAACCTTCTTGAGGGGCTCCTGGATGGCTCAGTCAGTTGAGCGTCTGGCTCTTGGTTTCGGCTCAGGGCATGATCTCGGGTCCTGGGATCAAGTCCCACGTCAGGCTCTACGCTCAGCGGGGAGTCAGCTTGGGGATCCTCTCTCCCTCTGTTCCTCCCCCTGCTCACACGCATTCTTCTCTCCCTCTCTCAAATAAATAAATAAAAATCTTCAAACAAACAAGCAAACTTTCTTGTAGAGTTACTAGCCAGTACAATTCAATAGAAAAATCATTTAGAGGTGTGAAACACTGAAAAAGAATAGGAAAACTTGTTCCTAGTTGGAGAAGCTCCTGGACACATGAACAGGTACCTAGAAACTCCATAAAAGTAACTGAAAAAACTCCTATATCCTGCAGGAGGTTTTAGGAAGGAACAAATTATAAAATTAACAGAAACTAGGAGTTTTTTAACGAAAGCCAGCTTGAAGACAACAAATGGGAGGAAAGACAGCTGTAAAAGAGGCAGGATTCGAGTTTAATAAGCGTCTTGTGGAATGGTCTGGAAGGACACGTGAAGGGGCCCCCGAGAGACTCGGCAGACAGCTCATGTGCATTTCAAACATCGTACACATCGCACAGTAAAGTTAAAGACCAGACAGCCCGGGGCGCCTGGGTGGCTCAGTTGGTTAAGTGACCGCCTTCAGCTTGGGTCATGATCCCAGGATCCACAGGCTCTCTGCTCCGCGGGAAGCCTGCTTTTCCCTCTGTCACTCCCCCTGCTTGTGTTCCCTCTCTTGCTGTCTCTCTCTGTCTCTCGATCTGTGTTAATTAAATAAATAAATAAAATCTTAAAAAAAAAAAAAAAAAAGACCAGACAGCCCACCCGGTGTGGCGGATGCTTCTGCAGCTTGTCATAACGGCAGGTGTGGGGGGACACCCTGACCTCTCTGCTCCTTGCCCCCTAGACAAAGGCCTTCATCCACCACGAGCTGCTGGCCTACCTATACTCCTCGGCGGACCAGAGCAGCCTCATGGAGGAATCGGCCGACCAGGCCCAGCGGCGGGACGACATGCTGCGCATGTACCATGCACTCAAGGAGGCCCTCAACATCATCGGGGACATCAGCACCAGCACCGTGTCCACGCCTGTGCCCCCGCCTGTCGACGACACCTGGCTCCAGAGCACCAGCAGCCACAGGTCCGAGAGGCCTGGGCACCTGTAGCCTGCAGAGGCTGCTGCCCGCCGGTCCCATGTGTCCTGTCAGGGCCCAGCCCAGGGGCGGGTGGGGTGAAGGGGCCTGAGCCACAGTGGTTGCTGCTCCCCAGCCTGGGCCTGAAGCGACAAGGAGAGAGAAGCGTTGGGTGGAGGGCCCATCTGACTCCTGGTGTTTTCCGTTGGTAAAGCCCAAGCGGAAGCCAGAGAGGGCAAGAGGCCGGGGCAGCGGGGGCCATGGGGTCATCGTTCTGGAGCACAAAGCGCAGACGAGAATGGCAGGTTGGGGAGGGTCTGCAGCAGCAGCTGGAGGGCATGACTGGCCTGTCCCCAGCCCCCCAACCACCTCAGAGCTGGCGGATGGAAATGAGACGCTGGCATGGCATGGCATTGCAGAGCCTTAGGCAGGGACACCCGACCAGTGACAGGGCAGGTGGTGGGAGGACAGAGGGTGGGTCAGGGGAATCTCCTAGAAGGTGCCGGCCCTGCCGAGGCCTCAAGGAGCCATGGAGTTACTTAGGGAGAGGGAACAGCGGGTGCTCCGGCCCGGTGGGGGAGCCTGTGGGGTGCCCAGGGCAGGGGTTTGAATGAGGGTGGACTGGAAGAGGCAGGGAAGCCGGCAGGAAAGCCGGCAGGCCCTGGCAGGGCTGATGAGAGGGAAGTGGCCCTGGGAGTGAGGTCGGAGGGAAGCAGGAGCCCCTGGTGGCTGAGGCAGAGGCACAGGTAGACCCTGGCGCAGGTTTTAGGTGGGGGCACAGCCACTGCTAAGCAGGTGACGGCGGGGTGGATGGAGGGGCCCCAGCCAGCACCACACCCCGGCCCCCTCGGGTTTCCACAGGCACCCCGGCAAGGCTGGTGCTCCCCACCCCCCTTCTCCGGCTCACACCCTCTCCTTCCTCCACAGCCCCACTCCACAGCGCCGACCCATGTCCAGCGCACATCCCCCGGGCCGGCCGCCAGCAGTGAGAGGCCCGACCCCAGGGCCCCCTCTGATTCCCGTGCCAGTGGGGGCAGCAGCCTCCTTCGCCGCACCCCCCATCCCGTCCAGGCCTGGACCCCAGAGTGTGTTTGCCAACAACGACCCCTTCTCAGCCCCGCCTCAGGTCCCATCTCGGCCAGCTCGGATTCCACCCGGCATCCCCCCTGGAGTGCCCAGGTAAGGCTGGACGCCCCCCTCACTGCCTGCACCCTGCGGGGAATGGAGTCTTCATCTGCATGTGGCTGGTGTGAAAACTAAGGCCCAGAGAGGCCAACTTGCTTGCCCAAAGTCACAGAGTGGTGGAGAGTCAGGGTGACTCCGGGGCTCCCAGGCCTGGCCTCTGCCTGAGCGGATGGCTCACCACACAGATTGGGACTCCTCACGTGGGGCCCCTTCTCCTAGTTTTGACCTTTGTTTCCTTACTGAGGACACACGCGTGAGCCGTCGCACACCCCTGCCCTTCCTCACCCTGCCCTGCAGGCCAGGCTCCATTTGCCACCCTTCTCCCGTGCGAAACCCAGGGTCCGGGCTGGGCAGGGACTCAGGCGGGGCCGCACAGCTCTAGCTCCTCCGTGGCACTCTAGCAGCTTTGGAGGCATCTGGCGTCAGGCAGCACCCTGGGGCGGGGGCGGTGGGGCCTGGGTCCCCTCCCTCGTCCTACTTAGGGCCTCACTGCTATCTCCCCCTCCCCCTCCCCATCTGTCTTTATTCTTTTTGCAGCAGAAGACCCCCTGCTGCGCCCAGCCGACCCACCATTATCCGCCCAGCCGAGCCATCCCTGCTCGACTAGGCTGCGGGGGCGGGGGGGGGGTGGTGTGTTCTCAGGGGGTCTTCACACACCTGCCATGCAGGAGCTTCGGTGGTCTGGGCCCCTCCACTGCCCCTGGCCCTGTCATCCATGTGCCAGGACCAGGCTCCCTGTGGGCAGCCCCCTGACTCTTCCCTAACCTTGGCCCCCATCCCCAGCTGGACACAGCACTGAACGAAGGGGCCCTGGAGCCCTGGGGCAAGGGCAGGAGCTGGGGTGTTGCACTTTGGGGGATGGAGCCACAGGGTAGCAGAGGAGGGAATGCACCCTGGGCGCCCTCTCTAATGAGGATTCAGGCTGGGGCCGGGGGCACTCACCTGGGGCTTCTCTGGCCAGGAAAGCCTGAGACCAGGCCTTCTGGAAACTGGGGCAGCAAGAGTGCCTGTACCCCCAGCCCTTCCTGGGGCCCAAGGAGCATGTCCACTTCTCAGCAGCAGGAGCTCCAGGCAGTGAGCCAGGCCCAGCAGGCCCCACGCTGCCCACCCTGCGAGTTGTAAATATTCCTTCCTTGGCCGTATTAACCACACGGCCGAGCCTCGGCTGCCGGAGGTGCCTTCGCCGGGTCTGGAAGCCTCCGTCCTGCCGGCCTCGCTCTCTCCTCCCTGGGTCCCCTCCTCCTCCTAGGTCCCCAGGGTGGCTCGGGCTCAGGGCTGAGTGAGTGGGGAGGCTTTGAGGGGCTCCTGGCTCCCACCCAGGCCTCCCCGACGAGGTGGGCCCCAGGTGGCCCATCGCCGAGCAGACCCTGCTCGCTCCTTGCTCGGTTTGACCACTGTAAGTGCCTGCACTCTGTATCCTATTAATAAACTAAAATAAAGGGAAGAAGCTTCTGGTGGCTGCTGTGTGGGCCTTTTGTGTTGGCGTTCAGGCTGAGCATGTGGACTGCTCGCCTTCCCCCGGCAAGCCTCTGACAAGGACCCCACCTCCCCTCCTACCGTGGGCACGCTCACACCTCACTCCTGGGGCTCTGCTCTTGGGGAGAGCACTTCTTCCAGAGGCAACCATGCTCTAGAGGGAAAATCTCTTGCTTTCCTTAACACGTCAGCAGGGGGGACAAATGTTCGCCACTCCCCCTCCACACATACTAACCCAGGGGCCTGGCTGTAGCCCCTGACACAGGCCTGGGGTGGGCAGCAGAATCACACAGGGGAGAGGAAGGCCCGGCCCTCCACCCCACCACTGCCGTGGTCAGGGCCCCCCTTCCTACCACTGCAGTCCTAAGGACTCCGCCCAGGTCCAAGGCCTTCTGGCCCAGCCCGGGTCACAGTTAAACTTTGCTTTCTGATTTTTCTCTTGTGCCCAGGCGACCACCTCCATCGGCTCCCGCCCGGCCTTTCTTCTGAGCTTCGTGGGAGACCCCTCCCGCCTGCCTGGTTTGCCCCCTTGGGGGCAGGTCTGTCCCGGCTGGTGTCCCTGAGCCCCAGTCACCAGGCTCTGTGATTTTCTGACCATAATTTATTGACTCCAGTGCCCAGGCCAGACCGCCCTTTGTTCCGTGAGGCTCCTGCGCAAGCTTTGGCTGGGCCACCCCTCAGCCCTGCCCGGGGCCTCTGCAGAGAGAGCAGGAGGGGCGGGTGGTCATGCAGCCCCCCCACTCCTAGAGTTCTGTTACCAGACCTCACACAGAGCCCACCCCGCGCTGGGCTGAGGGGCTGGGCTCCTTCCTCTCAATAAAGTGACTGTCCTGGCAAGAACACCGCAGCCGTGTCTCCTTCCCAGCCCCTGGCATAAGCAGGCCCCCCCCCCCCCAGCCTGGGAGCCGCCCCCAGCAGCAGCAACAGGCCTCTGGTGGGGCAACAGGGAGACAAAGGAAGGCGTGGGGTCCCACAAGCAGCAAGCCCCCTCCCACCGTACCCTGGCTCAAAAGGCCAGGAGGGAAGGGAAGGGAGAGTTTGCTTCCTGGGCCCCATCCCACACCAAGCAGTGCCCGTGCAGGCTGGGACTCGGGCTAAGGCACACACATTTACCGGAGGGGACACGGCAAGGGGCCAGAATATCCAAGGGTCACATTCAAATGCTGCAGTGCCTTCCCTGTCCATGCACAATTTCCAGGAAAGCAGGTGCAGCCACTGAGCTGTCCCTCCTGGAGGGCCCAGGCCTGTCAGCCAAGCCAACAAGGGTTTCCAGCCTGGCCCCTGGCAGGAAGGAGACACACAACCTCAGGGCCATGGCTGCGTGTCCTCCCCTCCCATAGGAAGCTAAGTTTGGGGAAAGGACCAGCAGCGGACCACACACATGTGCCCTGCTGCCCCTCCTTTCCCTGTTCTTCCTTCTGGGGCTACGTGGGCACAGGGCGCTTGTCCTGGAAAAAGCGCTTGAGCGTGCAGACCTGGAGCACGGCCACCAGCAACAGCACTGCCACGTTCACCGCGGACCAGAAGTTGACCCGCTCCAGGTTGCCCTCCTGCAGGTTGCGGTCACGTGCCTCAAAGGCCCGCAGGAGTGTCAGCATCTGGATGCTACGTTCCAACCGGGTCTTCATGGTCTCGATGGACTCCTGTGGAGCAGAGAGAGGGGCAGGGTCAGGCCTCCGCCCTTGGGGGAGCAGGGACCAATAAAACGGGGGATGGGGTGAGCCTGTTTTGGGAGGAGAGAGCTGAGAGGAGACTTTGTGGCCAGGCTGCCTGAGTCTGAATCCTCTCTCTGTGCCGACTGGCTGGGTGACTTTCAGCAAGTTAATTAACCTCTCTGGGCCTGTTTCCTCCGAATTGAGGTGAGAACTGAATGCCTAAATAAATATAAAGAATGTACTTACTAGTGGTTAACAGCACAGTTGCTAAAGCCAGACTGCCTGAGTTCAAATATTGGATCTGCCAGTTGCTATGTGGCCTTAGGAAAGTTACTTAGCCATCCTGTGGCTCAGTTAAATGGGGCATTGGGAACACATTCCCTACCTCATATGGAGATTTCATTAGTTACTTAAGCCCTTGAAATTCCTACACCTAGAAATGCGCTATTATTTTAACTGAGTGGCTACTATTCTAATAAAGGTGGGGGCACCAGGGGGGCTGGGTCAGGCTGAGGCAGACCCCAGCCAAGGTGGAAGAATTGGGGAGCACTGTTGCCCAAAGCCAGAGATCTGGGACAAGTGGCCCTGGCTCAGCCTGGGTGCACCTTGATGTCCTCCATCTTGACATCCAGCATCTCCTCAGGCTCCACAGCCTCTGCCCAGCCCTCGACCTCCTCGTCATCCTGCAGGCTGTCAAAAATGAGTTCGAAGAACACCAGCTTCTCAGAAATTGTGCTGAAGGAGTTGTCAAAGCACAGCTTGTAGTCCCCAGCTTCCGTGGGCTCCACTCTGGGAGAAAGACACACAGACACACATGACCCAGAGCGGCCCACCAGCCGGACTTTGAGAGGCAGGGAAGGTGGTAACCTGAGGCCAGTGGGGAGGGGCAGGGCTGAAACTAAACCTAGGCAGACAGTGGGACTTAACTCACGTGTGCACCCCATCTGCCTTGCGGGACTCGCTGACGAGCAGCACGCCCTGAGGGCTCTCCAGCGTGAAATCCACGTCCAGTCCAGCACCTCCGATCACCTGGGGGGACAGGTAAGAGGGTGAAGGGCTAGCGGTAGGCCAAGGGCACCTGCCAGGGAAAGCCAAGGCTGGACCAACCCGCACAGACCCATCCAGGACCACCAGGGGCCTACCTGAGCGCTGACACCTACACCTGCAACCTGGTCCTGCCCCACCTGTCCCTCTGACTGCGCCCCTTGCCTTGGCTCAGTCTTCATTGATAGGACAGCTTTGGTTTTGGCTCTTTCATCTGGTCACGCCCCCGTCGTAAGCCCTTGGTGACGTTTACCTGGCCATACCCCAAGTGAGGCGACAGGGCTCTGCTTTCCTTAACCCAACCCCCGAGACATCCTCATGTTGACCACACCCTTTTAGTGGTGCATCTTGGTCACGCCCACCAACTCCCCCAGTCAGTGGACCCAACTTTTGGCCACGCCCACTCGTGAGGTTCCTGCCCTGTGAGGGGCGCTCTCTTATAACCGATGGCCCCGCCCCCTCCGGCCGTCTCACTCTAACCCCGCCTCCTGCCATTATTCCCGCCCCCTCCGCTCCCACGCACCTTCTCCAGCCCTCCGGCTCGCTCTTCCTAGCTCCGCCCCCGCGCTCTTACGCACTGGCTCCTCCCCCTCCCTCTGTAATCCGTGCCTCGCTTCAGCTGCTTGGCCACGCCCCCTCGCCCTGGCTCCCCTCGCCCTCACTCCCCTCGCTCGTCTGCTCCCCGGCTCGGGACCCTCTACCTGGTACTCGGTCTCGAGGCTTGCGTTGGCCGGCGCAGACTGGTAGAAACACTGCTTCCTCCCCGCAGGCAGCAGGAACGTGAACTCGCCGTCCTGGATCGGTGGGGGCCCTGCCCCCCCAACCCCCACCGGCGGCAGTAGTAGCCATAGTGCCAAGGCTAGGGCCGCTCCGGCCGCCATCATCCGGGTCACCCTCCGGTCTGCTAAGAGGTCGCGGTTCCTTTAAGAGCTGGCCCTGCCCCCTCTGCTACTCGGCGGAGCTCATTGGCAGCCGCTCCTGCCGGTGGTGTGAAGCGAACGGAGAGAAAAAGTGAAGGGCCCCCTGAGAGCTTAGCTGCCCGAATGAATGCCTTCTGTGCCTTAAAACACTCAACCTTCTGGAGACTTTTTCCTGAATAGCCTCTGGCTCTGGTCACCGTCAATAGATGGTGAGGGAAAATGGCAAAAATAGGTACTATGATGGCGCATGTTTCTCAGGCGAAAGTTAAGGCAACTAAATTGGAGGCGGGCCGGGACCTCCTAAGGCACCTCCCTGCGGTTTTCCGAGAGTACGCTGCGCGCAACGGCCGTGCAGCGGTTTTGTCGGGGTGGAGTGCGCCTAAGATAAAGGGTGGACGGGTACGCGACCCGTAGGGTTCACTTGTAAAGTGATTCAGCTGGGGCGAGAAGGAGACCCTTTCGTAGTGATGTGGGGCCTTCGTGTTCCTTGTGCGTGGCTCCAGGTTCGCCGCCTGACCCTTTATTCCCTTTGCTCCTTAGAGCCCTCACTTTGTCAGTTGTAGTTGGGGGGGATGGAACGACCGCCCCATAGGGCGGCTGTGGGAATCGAGACGAAGCCTTGCCCATGGCGCTCCGTCTCCTTGCGTAGAGGCCGTAAAGGGGCATAGCCCACCCTGCACCCCAAAGTTCTCAAACTCGGGGAGCCAGCAGGTAAACAGAGTAATTCATGTGACCCGGGGCAGGAAAAATGGCAGCCAGGTGCTTAAGAGTCAGGAGAGCGTGGGCCTGGGAGCCACGAAGCCTACCTAGTTCAAGCCACCCACCCCGACCCTACTCCCGACCCTTGGCTTGAAATCGTCCCACCGGGCCTCAGTGTCCTCATCCGTAGGATGGGGTGATGCTTGTCCTACCTCACTGGGCTGTTGTGAAGATTGAGATAATGCTTGTTCAGCGCCTGGCACATTATAGGCCCTCAGTATATATTATCTGCTATTTTCCAGGCTGATCGCCCACCACTAGGCAGCCCACCATGTAACCTCTTCTCCCTCAGTCTGGCTTAGAGTATTTGGAGGCGACCACCCTCTGGGAAGCTGGCAGATAACCAAAGAAGTCACTGGAGAAATGGACTCTACTTGGTGATTCTGTCTAAACATAAGAAAAAATGTTATAGAGGGAAATTTTGAGTCTGTAAAGATAGGCCCTGGAATGGTTGGCAGTTGGTGACAATTACTCTTCGAATACAGCTGGTGGCTGTCAGCTCTTTCCTGCCTTTGGAGAACTTGAGGAAGTCACACCACCTTGTTAAGTCAAAGTTTATGTGCAGTCACTGTTAGTGTTCTTTTTCACTCCCAAAGTTTTCTGTCATTCACACTCGCTGCTTGGACAATTTGAAGGGTAGAGAGTGGGGGATCTTCTATTTATTTTTAATTTCTTTTAAAAAAGAAATATATATTTTGGGGCGCCTGGGTGGCTCAGTCGTTAGGCGTCTGCCTTCGGCTCAGATCACGATCCCAGGGTCCTGGGATCGAGCCCCGCATCGGGCTCCCTGCTCTGTGGGAAGCCTGCTTCTCCCTCTGCCACTCCCCCTGCTTGTGTTCCCTCTCTCGCTGTCTCTCTCTGTCTCTGTCAAAAAATAAAAATCTTTAAAAATATATATATATATTTTAAAGATTTTATTTATTTATTTTAGAGAGAGCCTGCGAGAGCGGGGGTGGGGAAAGTTGCATTTCTCTGCTATTCCTGAATAAGCTCATTTTTGCTGGTAAAATCACTGGTTAATGATGTCCTTGATTATGATATTTTGCCCCAGGTGGCTGTGGGTTTTTCCCTTTGCCTTAGTGTTTTCCAGGAATGCATTCTGAGTTCAACAGACAAGCACCTTGAGTCAGTCCCACGGGTAGCCCCCAGACATGTTAGAACAGACAGATGCCATACTGCCAACCTCAGCAACCAGGTGCGGGAGCCCATACTGGGGACACAGGCTGCTGTCTTCAAGACCTCCACCACCCTGGGAAGGAGATGAGGAAAGTGTGGGGAAAACACCACAGAGCTTTCCTGCCATGTTCAAGTTCCCTTTTCATTTTGATTCGGTGTTCACTTGGTTGGCACAAACCTTTGCCTGTTTTCCAGAGTTCGGATAATCGTGTTTGCTCAGTTTGTCAAAGTTTCTGTTTCTTGTTTCCTTCCATTAAACAAAAACTATCCCCTGTCCAAGTGTTCAACAAACACTTACTGAGTGTCTGACACTGTGAATAGAATAGACTCTATGTCCTCATGGGGCTGCCATCCCAGTGGAGGAGGCAGATCATACACAAGCAAGTTCAGCACTAAGATGATTTCAGGGAGTTATGGGTACCACAGAGTAAATGTTAGGTGGTAGGTGGATGGCTCGGTTCACCTGGGTGGAGTCAGGGAAGGCTTCCCTGAGGAGGCGGCATTGAATCTCAGACTAGAAGTAGAAGGGAGAGGAGGCAAGCCAGAACCACGCTCTTGGGTCAGAAGGCGCTCCGAGGGCTCCAGGGGCAGAAAGGAAGTGGAGCGGAGGGAGGGGAGTAGCCAGAGAAGAGACGGAGCAGTTACAAAGGCCACATCCTGTAGTGTCCATCTTTCCTTTGTATCGTTGGCCTACAGTGGGCCTGGGGTTCTTAGAACCACGGGGAGCTTACTGACTAGCTTCTTGAGGCCAGGAATCCCCTGCAATTATAACCAAAAGATTCTGAGAGTGTGTGCTGGGCAGTCTTTGCGTGCCCTACCAGAGCTCTTTTCCACCCTTTCCTGCACTGCTCTGTGCCCCTGGAGGCTGATCGCTACACAGCGGGTCAACTTAGCTGCCTTTTCCTCTCACATCCAGTTGGGTTTGGCCCCGGTAGGGAGATCTGAGGGCTGGAGGGGAGGAGGGTGTAGGTATATACACTCTGGCTCCCACCCTGTTGGTCTGCATGTCTCTACCAAAGCCTGCAACTTCAGTTCTCCACAAATTCCACAACACCCTCCCTAGCAACTTTAGGCCCGGGTTGGTAATAACTTCCCGACCCCAGGGAGTCACCATCCCTTGCTGATTTCCCTTCACCCTGCCCATGACTCCTAGTTGTACCTCTTCCGGGCGCAGTCTGTATGATGGCGGGCTGATACAGGTAAGTGTGTCTGTTTTTCTGAATTCAAAATTCCAGGTTATAGATTCCTGCACCAGGTTAAATGCTGCCAGGATGAAGTCCTCACATTCATCCAAGGTCTTTCACGCATATTATTATGTCTACCTAGAATGTCCTTTCCTTTGTTTCCTTCTCAGGCTTTTGGAGTCAGATAACTCCTCCTCCCAGAAGCCCTCCCTGAACCTGCAGAAGAAGCTAGGTTAAGAGCTCCCCTTGGTGACTGCGTCCATTAGAGCACTTCACCAACTGGACTCATTGTCTGCTTGTCTGACTCTCTAACCAAACTCTGAGCATCCTGAGGGCAGGAGTTTTTTTATTCCTCATGGTGTCCCTGGCACTCAGCACAGTTCCGAGCCCTTTGGGGAACTCAGTAAGCAGTTGGTGGAATAAATAAGCCAGGAATCTCTCTCTTAACTCTTATCTTACACACCCAGGAAAGAACAACAAAAATAGACAATATTCTTTTGGCTCTCAGGTTAGACAATCAAGAAATAGTTGTGGTTCACTGTGTGCCAACCACTGGGGTAGGCATTGGGAAACTACAGGTGACACCACAGACCCACCCCTGCACCCTGGAAGGAAGAGAGCTGGATGATTTTGATAAATTCAAGCATGTTCTGTAAATCGCCATGACCTAATTTAATGGATATTTACAGAATATTATATCAAGCAACTGCAGAGTGTACTTTAATTTCAAGTGCATCCAGAATGTGGATCAAGATATGCTGGGCCACTGGGCGCCTGGGTGGTTCAGTTGGTTGGGCGACTGCCTTCGGCTCAGGTCATGATCCCGGAGTCCCAGGATCGAGTCCCGCATCGGGCTCCCTGCTCAGCGGGGAGTCTGCTGCTCCCTCTGACCCTACCCCCTCTTGTGTTCTCTCTCTCTCTCTCTCACGAAAACAATAAAAAAATCTTTATAAAAAAAAGATATGCTGGGCCATTAAACAAAGTATCAATAAATCTCAAGGGATTGAAATTATATGGAGTGCATTCTCTGGCCACAAAGGAATTAAATAAAAAATCACTAACAGTAAGCTATCAAAAAATCCCAAATGTTTGGAAATTGACACATTTCTAAATGTATGAGTCATAGAAAAAATTCACAAGGGAAATAAAATATTTCTAACTTAGGCACAACCTGTCAGCGTGTGTGAGATGCAGTTAAAGCAGTACTTAGAGGGAAATAGATAGCTTTAAATGCTTATATTTGGAGATAAATTTTAAAATCAATGATCTAAGCTATCTTGAGAAGCTAAGAAAAGAAGAGCCAATGAAACATAAGGTAAATAGAAGAAAGAAAAAGATAAGACAAAAAACAATGAAATCAAAAGCAGAAAATAGAAATAGCAAAGCCAAAAGCTAGTACTTTGAAAAGGTTAAGAAAACTGATTAACCCCTAGCAAGACTATTCAAGAAAAGAGAGAAAAAACACGTTACCATTGAAAGAGGGGACATCACCACAGACCCTACAGACATTAAAAGGATAGTAAGGGAATATGAAGAGTTTTATACTGATAAGTTCTACAACTTAGATGAAAAAGACAAATTCTTTGAAAATATAAGCATGCTAATTTCAATAAAAGAAAATTACAAGGCACTGTAGTATAATTCAGCAAGGGAGTTTTTCTAAGTCCAGAGGGATCTGGAAGGATTTCCCAGAAGTGATATTTTAAGCTGACACCTGAAAGAGAAGTGGAATCTTACCAGGTTAATAGAATTGTGTCCCAGGCAGCAGAGACAGCATGTGCAAAGGTCCTGACGTTGGAATGAGCCTCCTGTATCCAAATAAAAAAAAGTCCACCGTAATGGCCCTTTTTTGTTGTTTAGTGACCACACACCTACATCGTTCCCTGGTGTAAACCTCCAGGGGGACCTGCTTGACTTGAACAGAAATGCTGAGACCAAAGCAAACTTACTGGTAAGAGAGACCTTTGGAAGTTTCTGGGCTGTAAACGGGAGGCAATTTATTCTGTAAACTGTATCATTCCCTCAGCTTTGGAGCTAGTGTTCCCTTTCACCTGGATGGTGACACTCCTGTGGCCTCACACTAGGAGCACTCACACCTCTCCAGCATTGCACTTCGTATGTATCATGAGTTCTATGGATCTAATACCTACAACTCTTAGCCCCATTCTACAGAGCAGCAAGCTGAGGCTTCAAAGATGGACTATGTTTTGCCTGAGATGACAGAGGCCAAGCACTAACCTCTGTGCTCTATCAACCTCTGCCCGACATATGTCTCAACTTTGGAACTGGTTGGACTGAGAGGTTTGCGTCTTGGGCATGGTTTTCCCAAACAGCCCACAGTCCCTTCCTCATGCCAGCCAGAAATTCTCTTCATAGGGAGAAAACACACACACACACACGCATGCACGCACGCACCCCTGACCATCTTAGCCCAATGTATCCCTCCTCCCATCTCTGCAGAACTGTGGCCACCAAGGTGCAGTGAGGTGCCAAGATCTGATGTGCGTCCGTGGAAGGGGTGGGGAGAGGAGAGAGTCCCTTTTGGCAGCTGAGAGTGTGTGTGCAACTTCCTGCCAGTGAGGAAACATTCGTTCAAATCAGCCCTGGTTCTCCTTTCCCTGCTCTGGCCTCACAGGAGGAGTTGGCCGTGAGCTGTGGGCCGCGCTGGCCTCCGCCAGATTTCCTGGCCAAACTGAGGAGGAGAGATGCCCTGGACCGTCCTGCTCTTTGCAGCCGGTGAGCCTAATGTTCCCCCTGCACCAGCCCCACCCTGCCCACCTGGCCGCTGCTCTGGGGGCAGAAAGCAGCACAGGGTTGCCTTCCCCAGGCGCTGGAGAAGGCTGAACGTGGACAGATTTGCCCCAGAGCTTTGGAAATGCTCCAGGAGCATGGCTTTCTCTTAGTGAGCTCCTCATCACCCGCACATCAAGGATATCAGAAATCCCACCCCGCTGGGGTCAGCCATGCCCACGCCCCATGACTCAGCCCTGCTTGGCTTCCACAGGCTGTTACCTCCGGGGCTGGGGCAACAGGAGGAGCTGCTGGGGGGCAGGGGGGAAGCCGGGCAAAGGTCTAGAGGTCAGACAAGGAGAGGCTTGTGTAGACCTCACCTGAGCTAGACACTCCACTCAGGAGCCTGGGGGCAGCTGGGGAGACACTGGTACCTCCTATAGGAAACTGTACCCCCCAAATCCTAATTCCTGACAGCCTGGGAAACAAGAGCACCCCTTTGCTCTCTGCTTCTCCTGCTCTTTCCCTGGCTCATCCCTTCCAAGCCACCCCGGCCGTCTTGAAGCCCCCACACCGCTTCCATCCTCCCAGCATCTGCCCGCGTGCTCTTCCTTCTGCCTGGAATGCTCTCCCCTAGCTCCTCCTATGTCGCCTCTTCAGGGAAGCCCTCCATGTCCTCCCCAGCCAGCGCAGGCTTCCCATTACCTTGTCTGATGGGCTGCACCGTGCTTCTTGTCTCCTTGAGAACGTCAGCCCCCCGAGGCAGGCATGTCGATCCGTCCATCTCGTTCACATTCTGTCCCCAGCACCTAAAACAGGGTCTGGCATCAGGTGAGTGCTGTTGACTGAGTAGTAAGGGTATAATTGCATTGCTATGTAATAACCACTACGATCATAATCAAATGACTCAAACATAGTGACCCCCAACCAGGTGCCTAGTACCCGAACCCCGGAACATAGCAAAGGGGTAGGGTCGGCTACCTACTTGTAAATAAAGACCAAGGCCCAGGGGGTTCAGCCACTTGCCCGAGGCCACAGAGCCAGTAAACGCCTCTGCTCTAACCACTCAGCCTACCTCCCTTTTCCTGCATTGCAGGTTCCTTCGCAATCCCAGCGCCATCCATCCTGCTGGTGCCCCCACACCCCAGCAGCCAAGAAGACCCCATCCACATTGCCTGCGTAGCCCCTGGGGGCTTCCCAGGGGCAAATTTCACACTGTACCGTGGTGGGCAGGTGGTCCAGCTCCTGCAGGCGCCCGCGGACCGGCTTGAGGTCACCTTCAACCTGAGTGGCAGTGGCAGGGAGGCTCCAGGGGGCACATTTTGCTGCCGGTATGGTGTGCTAGGTGAGCACCGACAGCTGCAGCTGTCGGACTTCAGCGAGCCCGTGCATGTCTCCTTCCCAGGTAAGACCCACCCACCGGCCCTCGCGGCCCACGGCTCCATTGGCTCACCTCCAAGCCTTTGTTCATGCTGTTCCCTCTGCTTGGAAGCCTTTGTGGGACGAACCAGGCCTCCAGCTGGCCAGGGCTCACTCACCTTTCCTCGCTGAATTCTCACAGTCATCCCATGCGACTTGTTCAGCGATGCCCCCCATTTTGCAGATAAGGAAACTGAGGCACAAGAGATGAGGGTACTTGGCCAAGTCACACGGCTAGCAGGGCAGCAGAGCTGGGATTCCACGGGCTCCAGTATCTAGGCGTGAACCCTCCACACTCGCTGCACCCCCCCTCCCTGGACATGTAACATTTGTGAGCACCTCCTATGCACCAGGCACTGTTCTTGGCCCTGCAGTTTCAGCAGTGAGTGAAACAATGTCCCCACCCTCCCCCAGCTGACATTCTGAGGGGATGCCGACAGTCAGTCGAGAAGCAGGGAGTCCAAAAAATATTCAGTGTAGCCCGCAGGGGACAAATAAAGTGGCAGGGATGAAGTACCACCTGGTGAAGGGTGTCGTTTTAAATACAGAGGAGAGTGGCCCGGGAAAGCCTCTCTGAGGGAGCGACATTTGAGCAAAGACCTGAATGATGAGGAGGCAGCCATGTGGGTATCTGCGGCGAGAGGGTCCCAGGCAGAGAGGGAGCTTGCTGTGCAAAGGCCCTGAGGCTGGCATGTGTCTGGTGTGTTTGAGGAACACCGGGGCGCTCTGTAGGGCTGAAGCATAGTGGGCAAGGAGAAAAGTTGGGGGAGAAAAAGGCACAGAGGTGGCAAGGAGGACCGTGTAGGGCCTTTGGCTGCATCAAGGACTTTGGCTCTTCGTCGAAGTCAGACAGAAAGCCTGGAAGGCTGATATTTTCTTGTGGTCTTTTCAGGACAGAAGGTTGGGTGTGGGCTCCAGGATCAAAGAGCAGTCTCCAGGTAGAGCCTCTGCATCACCGCCCATCAGAACTTTCCAACTGCAAAGAAAACTTTGTTGCCAGCAGAGGCCCCACTTAAAGAGAACTTTGTTGCTGGCAGAAGCCCCAGTGCCTTGAGGCGACAGAACAGTCAGTGTCTTTGAGCTCCACTGTCAAAGGCCCCCTTCTCTCACCTTGGGCCTGTGGTCTCAGCGTGGGGAGGGGACAACAGCCCTCCTGCCCCAGATGAATGAATGAACAAGGGCTAACAGTGTGAGAATATCAACTACGTGTCTGTTCCTTCCCCTTCCTGGCTTAGCTCCTGATCTCCATGGGGATCAGGTCATCTCCTCCTGTCTCCCCTGAGAGATCCCCTCTCTCCAGGGAGGGGCAGCCAAATTCCTTGCAGAGAAGTAAACTCTGAAGCTGGAGCTTCATGCTTTTGTGGCTGACTTCTGCATGGGTTTCAGGGTCTACCATGGGGCTAGGGGTGGATGTCATCTGACCCCCTGGTACGAGGCTGAAGCCAGCAGGACTCTCAGGCTGCAAGTAACTGGAAACTTACTCAAACTGGCTTCAGCAACAAAAGAGAATGTGTTGGTTTGCCAAACTGAAGTCAGTTTGCAGGGCTGACTTCAGGCATGGCTGGATCCAGGTGCTCAAAGATGTCAGGAATCATTCGCCCTCTCTCGGCTCTGCTTTCTTGTGTCTTATTCTCAGGCAGGACCTCCTCTTCATGGTGTCAAAATTGTGCCTAGCAGCTCCAGATATATATCCTACCAGCTTTGTAATGCTGGTCAGAGGAGTAAGCCTCTCTTCCCAGTAGTCTAGCCAAGTCTTAGAATTAGCTCTCATTAGCTCAGCTTTGGCCCCATGCCCATCCCTGAACCAATCACCATGACTGGGGGGTGAGGAATATGGTAATTGACCGGTCATGAGGTTTGCCAGATCCCCAGGGTCCAGCTACACCCAGGTCAGATGGCTGGGCAGTATCTGGGGGAGGGCTGGCTCCCCAAAGGTAATCTGGAGGAATGAGAGCTGTCCCACCTTCACCCTGCACCCCACAACTCCATAACCTGCCCCCCTCTTTTTCTCATGTTCCTCTAGTGCCCACTTGGATACTGGCACTCTCCTTGAGCCTGGCCGGAGCCCTCCTTCTCCTTGCTGGGCTGGTGGTTGTTGCCGTGGTGGTCAGGAAAGGTAACAGAAGGCAGAGACACGCATAGCCCAGAGGCTGCCAGTGTGCAACCGCTGGGACGTGTAAATGAACCCCCAACCACACCCATTTTTTAGGAGCACAGAGGCACACAGCTGGGGAGGTCTTACTCCAAGACTTAGCAGTAAAGAATCTTCCAGAAGTGCAATGTTGGTGATGGGGCAGGGGAAGTAGATATATATATTTTTTTAAGTTATAAAATATATATAACACAAAGCTTCACATTTTAACCCTTAATTTTTAAGTGTCCAGTTTGGCAGCATTGAGTACATTCACTTTGGTATGCAACCATCACCACCATCCATCTCCAGAACTTTGTCATCTGCCCCAGCTGAAACTCTGTCCCCTTTAAACACTAACTCTCCATTCCTCCTCCCCCAGCTCCTCTCAATCACTGAAAATGACAATAAAAAACAAAACAAAACAATATTAGGGGGGCACCTGGCTGACTCAGTCCGTAGAGCATGCAGCTCTTGATCTCGGGGTTGTGAGTTCGAGTCCCACGTTGGGTGTGGAGATTACTTAAAAATAAAATCTTGAAAAAAAAAACATTTTTTTTTACATGCTGGTTTGAAGCTTTTACCAATACACATTACTCACGTAATTGGGGGGTGGGGAGGATTTCGCAGTAGCTCTCCTGTTGAGTGGCACATTTGCCAGAGGAGAAGGCAAGGTTGGGTCAACAAATGTATGAGGGAGCCTTTGGAGTCTTTGTTTTGTTTTGTTTTTGCAACTAGGATGCAACCATGACCAAGATCTCATAAATGCTTATTTATTTTTTTGTTCCCAGTTAAAGTAAAAAATTTGCAGAAGAAAAGGTGAGACCGTTTCTGGAGATCCTCAGAGGGCGGTTTGGGGGAAAGAAATACCAAATGGTTGGGGGGTGTGGGGCAGAAGTTCCTGATGGGTGTTAAGGACTCTGAGACCTGGTCTGGTTCTGGGGACAGAAGGGCACTTCCCGTGCTGGGTGGGGGGTTTCCACTCCAAACAGCGCCCTCTGGTTGGGAGGGCTGCTTAAGAGGAACAGGTGCCATTTATAAAGCACCTAGGGTATGGGGAGCACTGTGCTAGGAGACTGCAGCTGGAGTCCACAGCAGCTCACAGCTGCCGTGGAAGCTGGCATCATAAGTAGCCCCATTTTATAGACAAGGAGACTGAGGCTCAACTTAGTCACACAGGGAGCAAGTGGCCGAGTCGTCCTCACATCCCTTAATCAATGACTGCCCAAAATGGTTGTAATACTCTAGAAAGTCACAGTTGGGAGAGGTGAGTGGCACCCTCTGGGGCGGTGCAGTGCCCAACTTGTAGCCTGTAGGCAGTGGCCCCAGCCTCAGTTTCTCCCCTCTGAGAGGAGTGGATACCCCGCTGCCTGGTGGCATAGAGCTAGCCTCAGCCCTAGGGATCGAATCCCGACTTCACCTGGCGCTGGGGCTCCTGCAAGAGAATTTCCATCTGCGGGGACTCAGGGAGGATGCATAGGCAGGTGGGGAGTGAAGGCCAAGTCTGGAGCCAGGGCTTCCCAGAACAATCCTCCAGCCTGAGAGCAGCAAGTCATCACTCTCCCAAATCCCTTTGTAGAGAGCGAGAATCCTGCTGGGTCCAGATGAACTTTGCCACCACAGGTGTGTATCTTCTTACTCTTATCCCCTGGCAGGGCAGGCTCACCCCCTCAAAACTCTAGTGGGTCTCATTACTTGCTGCTGAACCTCTTCTGAGGCCGCTCTCTTCCCTTAGGGTCAAGAACACACCCTCCCCTCCCCCCACCGCTAGGTTTCACCTCTCACCTTCTCTCTTTGCCTCATCCTCTGGCCTTCCGCTCACTCTGACCTCTGCCTACAACATTCTTCCTCTCTCTGTTCTTGGTCTAAAGGCCACCTTCTCCAGGAAGCCTTCCCTGACTGCCTAGACAGGGGGTGTGTTTCTACTTACCTGCCTTCAGCACCCTATCAGTCTTCTTACCCCTCGGGAGAAAAACACAAGTGTGTATGTAATACTCGCCTCCAGCGCTGGACGCTCAGTTCCACGGCGGACGGACTCCCTGGCATGGGCTCCTTAAATGGAGCCCCCTTTGTGATCCAGAACGTGTCATCCTGAAGGCTTCCACCAGGGGGTGACGGGCAGTCAGTCTGTGCTGCGTGATGCTCCCCGGAAGGGGCCCCAAGCAGAGAAATTCCATTCTCTGTACTTCTTTCACTGTTCCACACTTTTTTTTTTTTTTTAAGATTATCTATTTATTTGAGAGAGAGAAAGAGAGAGAGCACAAGCGGGGGAAGCAGCGGGTAGAGGGAGAAGCGGACTCCCCACTGAGCCAGGAGCCCCACTCGGGCTGGATTCCAGGATGCTAGGATCATGACCTGAGCGGAAGGCAGACGCTTACCCAACTGAGCCACCCAGGCGCTCCCACTGTTCCACACTTTTATTGAGCACCTACTAGGTGCTAACATTTGGGGGGGCGTCCCTCAATGACCAAGACAGGTGGTCTTTGCCCACAAGCCCATACTGCAGTGGGGGAACAGCCCATGGCCGGTTGGGACCCTGTCTGGAGCGAGGAGGGCGGTCCCGGGAGGAAATGGTGTTTAAGCAGAGACCGGCAGGAGCAGAGTAGGGGGGTGAAGAGTAGGCGATTGGGGGAAAGCCTGGGGTGGTGGAAGACCTGAGAGGTGCTCCCGAAAGTGGGAGCTGAGAGGAGAAACCCGTTTATCAGAGGGCTGCGAGAGGCCCCTGGGGGAGGGCTCTGGGCAGAAAAGGGACACCGTTCAATTTACAGCTGGGAATGGTTCACCCTGCGGAATGGGCTGGAAGGGAGGGAAGCATGCTGGGAGATGGGTCCCAAGCCCTTCCTCACGGTTGACTTGAGGCCCATGGCTCTGGGGGGAGTGCCTCCAGAGGGCAGTGAGCAGGGATTTTATACTGGCGCTTGGCTTTCTTTTCTCTTTCTATTTCAGATATGACCTTTGATAACTCTCTGTTTGCCATCTCCATGGTAAGTCATTGCATTTCTTGGTCCCGATTTTCTGCTGACTGTCCTAACTTCCAAGAGACCACCATCAGGCTGGGCCGACCTGATGTCTCCGAGCTTCGGGGGCGGGGGGGGCTGGGAAAAGCCCAGAATCACTGAGCAGGGATTTGTTTGTGAGCTGAGAGTTGGCTCTGGAAATTGTGAGGGGATGGGAGGCAGCCATGTCCAGGCCGTTGGGCGGCAATGGGCAGGATCCTCAGGCCGCCTTTGCACTCAGTGGGGCCAACCCTATAGAATGGTGACAGGGGACTCAGGGTGACCCCGTGGGGTCACGTGTTTTGTAACAGTCCGATGCAAACTGTAGTCCCCTCCTGGTAAAGAAAAGCCTTTTTTCATGTTCGGTTTCAGGGACTTCAGCTTAAATATCCAAGTTCTGCATTTCTCTTTCAGTGGGGAGGGTCTCATCACATTCTGCCCCTTTGCAAGAGGTTTTGCTCTCCCAGGTCACATGGTGTTGGGGCTGAGATTCAGACCAGCTCTACGGGACTCCTCTGCACAGCTGCATCTTGGAGTAGATGATGATGATGATGATGATGATGATGATGAATTATTATTATTTTATTAAGTTAGAGATAGATGAGCCTTGGAAACCATGGATCAAGGAAATGTTCATCCGGCTCCTCTCCAGAGTAGGGGACAGGTCTGGGGTGCAGGTGGCCCCCCTCGAGGTGGCCTCCGATGCCCCATTTGGACAAGCGGGCACTTTGGGACTGCAGTCAAGGAGCCGGGTGGGGAGTCGGTGTGCCTAGGGCACCATAATGGGGAAGGATTGGGCTGGTTCAACACACCTTTCCCGGGCATTGGGACAAGAACAGGACAAGGCCTTTAATTCTTCAGAGCTTTCTAATTTCTACGGGGGGTGGGGTAGACAGACGATGCCACATGGGGTAGGAGTGAGAGGGAAGCTCACTTCTCCCTTAGATGGGAGATCCAGGAAGTCTCAGAGATGGCCAACAAGCAGGGGATAGCTACGGAAGATTGCCCCAGGCTCGGGACACGTTCTTGGCACCGTCCAGTAAAACAGAGGTGGCGCCGAGTGAGGTGTCGAGGGGAGCCCCGCGGAGAACTTTGATTGTTGCCCCAAGTGTGATGAGAGCCATGGAGGGTTCCAAGCAGGGGAGAGAGGTGACCGATTCAGGTGCTCACCCGCGCCCTCTGGCGGCTGCGGGGAGGACAGACTTGGGGGGCGTGGGCCGACCGGAATGTGAGGGTGTATTCCCCGAGTGGGGAGTAGTTACCCGGACAGAGGCGACTGTGCTGGTCCAGGAAAGCTGAGTGGTAGGCGGTAAGTGGTTTGGTCCAGCGTGTTGGCAGCGGAGGTGGAAGAAGCGAACAGATGCAGGTCAGATCGATTCAGGGGACAGGAACCACGGCACTGATTTGGGGTTGGATGATGAGTGGAAGGAGAGGCGGAGGGAGGCGCGTGGGAGTCCTGGGGAGCAGCAGGCGTGGGGGGACCACCTTACCGGGCGATGCCCAAGGGCAGGTGCATACGCGCATCTGGAGTTCTGGAGACAGGAGCAGGAAATTTAAACTGTATACGAATGTGGGAAGGAAGGAGCTTGGCCCCGCCGGCCAGTTCAGCCCTGTGCTGTCTCAGTTCCGGGAACAAATCCTGTGCTGTTAAGAAAAAAAAAACCCAAATCCGGCCAGCAGGGCAAATTCTAAAACTTTCTGTGAGAAGACGTGCTGCTCAAGGCACTACCCTGGGGATTTTTCCTTTTTCCCTTTTTTAAAAAAAAGGCATTTAAAATGAAACAAGTGGAAACAAAGACAAGGAGAAAAATTTTAAAAGTATCTTAGTCCTTGTGACTATATATGTTTGTTTTTTTTTAATTAAAAAAACCTGGGGCACCTGGTTGGCTCAGTCGTTAAGCGTCTGCCTTCAGCTCAGGTCATGATCCCAGGGTCCTGGGATCAAGCCCAGCATCCGGCTCCCCGCTCTGCGGGAAGCCTGCTTCTCCCTCTCCCACTCCCCCCTGCTTGTGTTCCCTCTCTCGCTGTGTCTCTGTCAATAAATAAGATCTTTAAAAAAAAAAAAAAACAACCTGTGGGGGGGGCCACCTGGCTGGCTCAGTGGGTAGAGCATGTGACTCAATCTCAGGGTCGAGAGTTCAAGCCCCATGTTGGCGATGGAGCCTACTTAAAAAAAGTTTTTTTTTAATATGAAATACATCCATATGTCGAAATTATAGATCCAGTAAAGCATTCTTCTGTCACTAACCCCTGTTCACTCACTGGTCTCCTCCTCCACACACACAGATAGCAACCAGCATTAGGAGCTTCTTGGAAATGCAAGCAAAAGTGAAAATAAGGGGTGTATACCTTCACCCTTTCTAACACAAATGATAGTATGCTATCCACACTATCATGCTTCCTTTCCTTCACAGTAAATTCTAATGGGATCTTTTCTAGGTGTTTTTTTTTTTCCCCATCATGGTAAAACATCCATAACATAAGATTGACCATTTAACCATTTTTAAGTGTCCAGTTCAGTGGCATTAAGTACATTCACCTTGCGCAACCATCACCACCATCCATCTCCAGAACTTCGTCTTGCAAAAGTGAAACTCTGTCCCCACTGTATACTAACTTCTCATTCTTAACAAACCCCAGCCTCTGGCACCTACCCATGTGCCTTTCTGTCTCTGTGGATTTGTGTATTCTGGACATTTTATGTAGAAATGATGCCATATAATGTTCATCCTTTTGTGTCAGGCTTTTTAAAAAAATATTTTATTTGAGAGAGACAGAGCGCGAGAGAGCACAAACGGGGGGAGGGGCAGAGGGAGAGGGAGAAGCAGGTTCCCCGTTAAGCAGGAAGTCCCACGCGCAGCTCCATCCCGGATCAGGACCTGAGCTGAAGGCAGATGCTTAACCGACTGAGCCACCCAGGCGCCCCATGTGCCTGGCTTATTTCATTTAGCATAATGTCTTCAAGGTTTGTTCATGTTGTAGCAGGTGTCAGAATTTTATTCTTGTTGAAGGCTGAATAGTATTGCATTGCATTTATATAGCGCATTTTATCTGTTCATCTGTTGATGGACACTCAGTTGTTTCCACCTTTTGGATACAATGAATAGTGCTACTATGAACATGGGTGTGCAAAAATCTGTTTGAGTCCCTGCTTTCAATTCTAGTTTCTTTTTGAAGCATTAGAAGCTGTGCTGTTGGCTGAAATAAAAGTGAAGCAGCTAATCGTTCTCCAGCTTGTATTGTGTTACCCTACTGAGGGTCTGATATTCACTTTCTATTCCTTATGAAGTGGGGTTGACTTTTTTTAATTTTTATTTTTTAGATTTTATTTGAGAGAGTGCACATGTGTGAGCAGGGGGAGGGGCAGAGGGAGAGGGAGAGGGAGAGAAAATCTCAAGCTGACTCCCTGCGGAGCGGGGAGCTGGACGTGGGGCTGGATCCTAGTCCCTGAGATCATGATCTTAGCCAAAATCAAAAGTCAGGCACAGAACCGACGGAGCCGCTCAGGCGCCCCAACATTTTTTTTTTTAAGTAGACAAGGACACTGAAGCTAATTATGGGCCTTACTGGGATGGTCCAGCTAGGGAGGTGAAGGACTGGGATCGAACCCCAGCCTGCTCTCACCCACCAAACTTCAGTTTTGTCAAGTTCATCTCTTCTTGACTGACATTTGGGGCAGGAGCATCCATGGTGGAGGAGAGGGTAGACTTTTGAGGCAGGTTTTGTGGGAGCCTAGAACAGGGCGACGAGGTGGGGGAGGGGAAGAGATAATGGTGATAACTTTGTTCACTTAACTATTAATGCTTGCTACATGCCAGACACTTTATCTATTTAATTCCTTTAGGTTTTGTGGCAACTCTAGGAGGGGTATATGAGCATTCTCTCCATTGTGCAAAAGGAAAAAATAAGGCTCAGAGGGGTTAAGTTACTCAGTTGGACAAGGTGGAGCTGAGATTTGAACCCACGCTGTCTGCTTCCCTTCTCAGCATACAGAAAGGCAGGACAGAGGGCAGGATCTGGGCCCTGAAGCTGTGGGGTGGTGTGTGGGGGTGAAATGAGACCTGACGGACTGGGGGAGTCTGAGACTCCGAATAGGGAGACCCTAGATCCTGAAACCTCAAATCACCCTGTTCTCTGTTTTTCCTCCATGGACAAAGAAAATGAACCCAGAAGAAGATGCAGCTACTCTGGATGCTTGCTCAGGCACCGCCGAGACACCTGGCAACTCTGGGCCCCGGAAAAGGCCCACCTCCACATCATCCTCACCTGAGCCCCCCGAATTCAGCACTTTCCGGGCCTGCCAGTGAGGCTGAGGATCGGGGGCCCCTCTATGTCTGTGCACTCTCCATTCAGCCCCCTCTCTTGAGGGCCTGAAGTCCCTCCCGCTACTTTGGGAATTCTGGCTGCCGCTTTTTCAGGGAATTGACAGAGGAGATAAAGGGAACCCTTGGCCTTGGGACCTTCCTCACAGAAAAACAGGAGTAAGTAGACGGGGCACAGACATTGTCCTGGAGGTTGGACAGTAAGCAGGAAGACTCTCTTTGACTTCCCAGCTTCTCAGACCACGTGGGAAGGAGATGTTAGGATCTCTGTGGCCCCCAATTGGGCCATAAGAGTCCTGAGTCCTCCACGTACCCCTCCGATGTCCTCCCCTTGCCACATCTGACTTGACCAACCCAACCAGGTTTTTGGAGCATAGGGTACCTGGGGGTATGTTCTGTAAGTCTGTCCTGCTGGCATGCCTAAGTTATTAATTATAACACGTGTTGAGCTCTTCCCAAGGTCTCTATGGAGTGTAATCCTTCAAGCCCAGGATCTCTGGGGTCTAATCACTGGAAGCCTAGGGGGAGGGGAGCAGTACCCCTCAGGGGCATGCAGTCAAGGTAGTATATGGGGAAGCCCGTGGGGGTACAGGAGGGGGGACAGTGTCACGTGGTGTTTGCTAAAGTCCTTGCATTAGTGAGTATAGTAAGTGGAATGATGGGGGCGTCAATGAGGAGGTCCAGAGAAGAGTGGGAGCTAGAGAAGGTGGGAAGCCGCCGCAATCCTTTTTGGACCCTCTAGAAGAGAATGACGCCCTGAAGCAGTGACAGGGGGACTTGGAAGATAGGGGTGTGTAGGGGTGTGTATGTGTGTGTGTGTGTGTGTGTGTGTGTGTGCGCGCGCGCGCGCGCCCCCCCTGTAGAAAGGGGCACTTGACCCTGCTTTGCAGGATTCATTGGCCAGTCATCGCGGGGGGGGGGA